ATGTATCTGGAAGAAAAATTGACAAAACCATAGAAAACTCTTGAAAAAACCGAAAAAAAAGTGAAAACGAGCGAAAAAATTTTGAAAGTTTGAATTCGCGCGCTTTTACTCACCGGGCGGCCTAGAAAAAACCTCGTCCCTAAGGGCTTTCAGCGTATTTTTCGATGCGTTTTTCTCGCCGAAGGAATTTTTTTTGAATTTTTTCTTTATTTTTTTGTCAATCTACATGCATTTCTGCACATTTTGATGCAATAAAAAATTTCACCGTACACCACCTTTAAAGTTCCCGAGTAGAGCAAGAAGTAACATGCTCATGTCCACTCGCAGCTGTACATCAAAATCGGTTAAAACGGCATGGTATCCGTCGTCCAATTTTTTCTGTCTTTCCCAACTTTAGCAATCAACTTTCAATAGTGGTATGAATTGTCCTTAAAGTGATTGACATTTCACAGGTAGATTGGAAAGGGTCCTGTTCCGCTAGATCTCTCAGTTTGTCTGAATCTTGAAGAACTGGTCGCCCGGGGCAAATTTCATCTTTCATTGAAAAGTCCTAGTTTTTGAACTTGCCAACCCAATTTGCAACGGCGTTTTTATAGGGACATTATTTTTGTAAACTTCCACCAGGCGGTGATGAATATTGGATACTTTCAGGTTAGAAATAACTAGAAATAATATACAGAAATTTCACCTAAAAACAGTAGGCATCAAAAGGGGCATCCCGTTCGCAAGCGGAATGAGAGCAGGGCGAATGATGGTTATTGTGAACAACCTTATCATGTTATATACCATATCCCGTTACATACAAGTTATTGTTCTAGCTCAGTTGAAAGAAAGAGGAAAAACCAAAGTGTACAAAGATTTATTAGCCAACCTAATAGTTTAAAAAGTATCCGAAAAAAAATGCCAAAATTAAATTTCCAGGTAAATCTCCGCCTCTCAATTTCCCTGAAATCGATGTGTTTCGTCATTGTGTCCGCCTTCTCCATAAGCCCTCTCATGATCCATGAAATCTTTTCCGATGCCATTTCCCCTCACTGCACCGAACGAGTAAATCCTTATGCGGTCAGTAATATGGGATGTTCCCTTATCCGTTTTTTTACTCTGCTTCCAATGGTAATCATCTGTGCTTTGTTTGTAAGTTTGAAATATCAAATTATCAAACGAAGCCGGAGAATTTCAGCATAAACCAGAAGATTATGTTCCTTGCTTCACTGCTCTCCTCCCACTTCTTTCTGTTAATGTGATGGCGTATGCGTTGGAGGTGAGTAATACAAAGTTTTAAAATACCGTATCTCCTCTAATAGAAGCCCACCTTTAATAGAAGCCCACCCCGCGAGGTCCTTCGAAAAATAGAAGCCCATGGGATTTTTCTCAATTTTTAAATTTCTCAATTTCTCATCCACAGAGTTCCTAAATATTGAATTTTGAGATTCTGGAATCTTAGAATTTCATAAATTCGGAAATTTGGAGTTTCGAAATGCAGAATGAAAACTTCGAATTGAAAAAAAACACCGAATTCGAGAATTCTTAACTTCCGAATTGTCAAATTTCTGATTTTTTAACAAAATTTTTTTTGAAAATTAATTGTTGAAAAATAGAGGCGCACCCTCTAATTGAAGCCCACTTGTAATATAAGCCCAACCTGAGTAAGAGATTGAAAAATAGAAGCCCAATGGGCTTCCATTAGAGGAAATACGGTAAAAATGTTTGAATTGTTTCAGCAACCTCCGAAAATTCATTTGGTTTCTGGAAACGATAGAACCGACGAAATAGAATCACAATTCTGAGTTCTTGATAACTTTTTGTTTTTTGTGTGTATTCCCATCCTAAATAAATTACTTGTTGAAGTGATAGACATCTTAAATTAAAAAGTATAAAAATAAATCAGGTGGATCAAAATATTATACGAATCACCACACTTAAAATTTGAGAAAATGGATCTGTACAATTGGCGAAGCATGAAATTCAGAGATTTTTGAATTGTTAAAGATGATTACTTCTAAACCGTATTTCCTCTGATAGAAGCTGCCCAAACCAACAACTTCGAGTTCAATTATCTCTATTCCTGTGAGAGATATCAAAAATTGGTTAACTGATAAATTGTTTTTGATATTATAGTAAACATTTTTCAGTTGATTGCTTTTTGATATTTTTAATAGGCACCGAGATAAACTGATTCAAAGTACAATTGACAGAACATGAAATTTAGAGGAACCCAATTCTAAAAATTCCACCTTAATTTGAAGACAGAAACAATTCATATTTTGGTCTTTTCCGTAGCAAAAATCAATTTTAGAAAGTTCTCAAAAGTTTTTCGATTTGTCTGAAGATTTCAGAGTACATTAAACAAAATTATAGCTTCAGTTTTGTAATTGACAACTTTATTGTTAAATCCCATTCTTATCAGATATACCGTAAGATATACCGTAAAGATATACCGTAAAGTGTCGAAAATGCCAAATGAGCACTGAAGTGAGAGTTTCACAACTTTTAAACCGCTTAACTGGGTTGGTTGGATTCGTACGAAAAAGTTGTCAAAAAAACAAAGAAAAAACAAAGCTCTAAATTTGTTTCACATACTCTAAAATTTTCGAAAAATCGACAAAACCCTGGAATAGTTTTTCAGGACTCCAAAGTTGGCCACAGGTAAAGGAGCACTGTCGAAAATCTGCTAAATGACAGCTGAAGGTACTACTTGGCAGCCGAAAGAGAACCGACGGGCCGTCAACGGACTGTTAACGGACGATCGGAATCTCGTAATAGAAGGGCCATTAACTTCCAGCTTTGAGCCAATTGCTCTCAGTTCCAGTCTAATAATAAGTTATAGAAAAGTTGTCAACTGATAAACTGTTTATCATAACATCAGAATTTTTTGTCAATTGATACATTTTGATATCTTGCGCAGGAATTGAGATAATTTAGCGAACACTTGACAGTGGGGGTGCCCTTCTATCACAGGTTTTACGGTAGTCAGCAGTGGTTCAAAACTGATTTGAATTTCAAATAAACCATAAGACTAATTACAGTTGGCCATATTTTTGTTGCTTTTTCTTATTTTGAATGGCTACTGTAGGCGACATAATCTTAGGGAGAATCATGATATGAAACTATAAATTCGTTATTTTGTTTTATTTTCCAGCTTTGACTTTTCACTAATTTGTCTTTTTGAACAACCAAAATCCAAAAAATCATCTGATCCTTGATTTCAAATTATTGAAACTTTATTTTCCTTTAAATCTGATGATTAATCAAAAAGAAATCCAGTAACGACACACTGAAAATGTTCTTCGAAATATTGAAAAATAAGAAAATCGGAGTGTGTAGGAAGTTGTAATGAAGCCCTAGATTCCAGAGAAGGAGATAACTACGGTATTGGGATTAAAATCTTCATTGCTCATCTCTCTATCACACCTGTCTTCTCTCCCATTCTCCTTCTTCAGTCGATTATCCTGCTCCGTGAGAAAAAAAGGGGAGGATCCGGACAGGATTACTGTAACCTGTTATTACAAGCTCAGTTTCTTTTTATTTTTATTGTTGCCCCTCCTTCTAGCTTTTTTGATAAGATTGGATTTTCTGAATTAATTGAATCCGAAAATAAAACTGTCAAAATGTCGTATCACTATCAAATGAGTACTACTAATAATGATTTTTTTGATTCAACGAATTATATTCCCCAGGTAGAGTTTTACATTTTAAAAAAGACCCTCCAAATGTGTACTTCAGATGCAGATGCATCATGGATACCAAGACTTCTACACTTCTGATGCCACATCATCAATGATGACGTCTTCAGCCACGTCCCAAGCTCCAACACAGCAGACGGAAAGTATAATTATGCCTGTACAACAAAATGGCGGGGGAGATCATGTGTATGTTGAAGAAAAGCGAGATCTAGAAAAAAAAATGAAGTCATAAGAAAATTGATTGCATCGAATCATATGAAATTTTAACTGTTATTAAAACTTTTTGTAGAAAGTTAAAATTTTTTAAAGTCTAATTTATGAAGAAAAAATTCAAATCACATATTTTGCATTCAATTTTTAGAAATTTAAATTTAATAAAGTGAGACTAAAACTTGAAAATTTAGCATATTGTGTGAAAACTTATGTTAAGTTGTATATATAATTTTTTAAATTGAACATATCGTTTCTAAAGAATTCGCGTATTTTCTCTAATAGAAGCCCATCCAAAGCGTCAAGTTTGAGCTCAATTATTTCGATTTCTGTGAAAGATATTCAAAATGTGTCAACTGATAAATTATTTATTATAATGCAGCCAATATTTTATCAATTGAAAAGTTTTTGCTATCTTTTGCAGGAACCGAAATAATTGAGCTCAAAGTGTACGGTTTGGATGGGCTACTATTAGAGAAAATAATTCTTCAGAAACGGTAACAGAGGTAAACAGAATGTAGGAAAGCAAAAAATTGGAAAAATTATGAATCCAAATCATACAATCTTCAGAAAAATGAATTTGGCTAAGAACTTTAAAAAAAACTAAAACTTTCGCTCAAAAGTATGAGAGAAGAAACCGGAGATATTAGACTGGCAATAGACAAAGAGTGAATCTAAAAAGAAACCTTCTTCATCTGATAAGGATTCGAAAGTGTTTCATTTGGACAAGAAGCTCTTTTGTGAAGCTTCGGACCAAGTGCTTCTGGAATACGAAAAAAGAAGATCCCATATGAGAAATACTAGAGAAAGATCTAGATGTTCCAGAGAAAAGGCGAATGAAAAGATGACTTACAATATGATATAATTGCACTTGAAGGGTTGCTTATTCTTGGTTTTCAGCGGATATGGAAGCTGGAGGCAACATGATTGGAGTGCAACGTCATCATGGGCGATGGGAACCCAAATGGAGCATATGGGAGCATCAACTGGGAATGGAGTTGGTCATATGGGAACAAACCATCAAGCTAATCATGGAAGTCTGGGTAACACTCAATCAATTATGCCATCAACTCATGTTCCAACTGATTCCTTTCGGTAGTTTTCGAATATAAGAAATAGTTTTGAATTTTTTATTTCAGACAGATTCCATCTTCGAATTTATGTTATATGGATCCACCACCGACCAGAATGTTGTCCAAAAAACCTTCTAATACAGTACATCGACCTTTAGCAAGGTCTACTCCGAAACCATTCAGATGTAGTACTTGTGGGAAAGCATTCTCACAGGCAGCCAATTTAACAGCTCACAAAAGGATTCATACAGGTCCGTTCAACATTTCCAACTTTAAAATTTATTTTTTATTTAGGAGAAAAACCATTTATGTGCCCGGTTTGCCACCGTCCATTTTCTCAAAGTTCCTCACTGGTCACGCATCGAAGGTATGTCTCTCTACAGTATCCTATTAGAGCCACCTGTCGTCAGCAGTTTCCTGCCACCCGGCTTAATCCAGTGACATGCGCTCATCTAATTGTAGGGATTCACTGAATAGCAATAAAAACATTATGATACCAGCAGCCCCCTCCTTCTCCTTATTTAGCTCATGAGATTAGTCAGTGATAGAAAATGACGAAATTGGGAAACTGAATTAAAATTGAATTTCAGAACTCATACTGGCGAACGACCATATCCATGTGCACAATGTGAGAAAGCATTCACTGATAGTTCAACTTTGACAAAACATTTGAGAACACATACCGGGCATAAGCCATATGTCTGTTCTATTTGTATGATGAAGTTTACACAGAGCGGGAACCTACATCGGCACATGAAAACCCATAAATAACTGTTTTTTTATTTATTTTATCGAATAAATTTATATTATCTGCTAAATACCCATTTCTGATAATTACTTCACCATTTTATTGATAAAATACTGGACATCTTCCGAATATTTATTAGTTGGGCTACTGTAGCCTTTAAAGGGACGATATCGAAAGTTTTCTTTAGTGGCGAGACACCAGAGCATTTGACTGCGAAAAAACCTATCGATCGGCGGCGCCAAAATGAAATTCGAAACAATGTCTATTTTGCACTTCGCAGTCTTTATTCGGCATCGTCATGATCGGTCGTCGTCGAAGCGGCGGACTTGCAGTTCGATCAATCGCATCTCGTTCGATTGCAGCACGTTCACCAACACTGACAGGTAAGGAAAGAGTGTAAAATCACTAGGAGTAAGCAGAATGACATTAAAATGATTTTCCGTACTGAGATTAACAATTATTGAAGAAAACATTTCATTGTATCGTATTCTAATTACAGCGTCTCGTCGAGTCACTTCGTCTAGAGGACCATTGCCAAGCTTAGCTGAGCCGCTGCCATCGCCGTTGACAACTGGAAGACACTCAACACTCGGACATTCTGGATGTCCCGCATTGACGAAAGCGACTTCTGCGAATGTCTCACGCGTCCCTATTGCGTCTCGTCCTTCTTCAACGTCTAGCAGACCGCCGTCCACATCTTCCGTCCGGTCTGTCACATCGCAACGCTCAACTTTCGTCGCCAACAAGACAATCGCTGCACCTGCTCGAGTTAGGCCAGTGGGGCGAGCATCCGTTCCTGTTATTTCTCGTCAACCATCACAAGTCGATGTTCTCAAAGCAAAAGTCGCAGCGATGGAAAAGGATATTGTGGAGAAGGACGAACGGTTGCAAATGGCGAAGGAGACAGCGGAAATGCAGAAGGAAAGCATAGAAATGTACAAAGAGCGGCTAGAAGTGATGAGCACGAAAGTGGACGCGCTGAACGTGCAAGTGGACGTGCTGAAGACGGAGAGTAGTCATCTGAAGGCAGAAGACGAACAGAAAGAGGTGCGAATCGGAGAATTGACGAGCCAGTTGAACGAGAAGGAGAGTATCATGCGAAAGCTGCACAACGATGTCGTTGACTTGCGAGGCCAGATTCGTGTAGTTGTTCGTGTGCGTCCGATGCTTAGATCTGAAGTCGAGACGAGTGTTTCCGCTATCGAATACCCGACAATCAATTCCATCATTGTTAATCAAGGATCGAAATCGTCTGGAGCAATGACGTTTGAAAAAGTGTTTACACCTATCTTCACTCAAAGTCAAGTGTTCTGTGAAATCGAGGATTTCATTCTGGTAAGCGACAGGAAACTGATCCTCCAACCATAAATCATTTCAGTCCGCTCTCCATGGCTACAATGTCGGTTTGATTGCTTTCGGGCAGACAGGAAGCGGCAAAACTCATACGATGAGAGGAGGAGATGGCGAAAATGAAGGGATCATTCCAAGAGCTGCCTCGTTTTTGTTCAGCGCATCAAAGCAGCTAGAAGCGACGGATGGCAATTTCAGTTTTCGCTATCTTTCCTGGAAATCTACAACAACGAAGCCTATGACCTTCTAAATAATCACAACGTTGTCAAATTGCGTCTCGTCAAGGAAACCGTGTCCCTCGACGGATTGTCCGAGCACCCACTCAAGAAACAGTCTGATATGGCTGTTCTACTAAGAACAGCAGACTCAAACAGGAAAACGGCCAGTACCAAATGCAACGAGTACTCGTCTCGTTCTCATGCCATATACATGTGGAAAATCAAGGCAGAGCAGAAATCAACTGGTAAGCACTATATTTCTGTTGAAGCTGGAAATCTAATTCTTAATTCCAGGTATTTCGACCAACTCGGTGCTCAAACTGGTTGATTTGGCTGGATCGGAGCGCGCAAAGGAGTCGGGAGTTGTTGGACAACAATTCAAAGAGATGACCAACATCAATCAGTCCCTCTCCGTTCTTCAAAAGTGTGTCAGCATGCAAAAGTCAAAATCATCACATGTACCATATCGGGATAGCAAGCTCACACAAGTTCTTATGGATTGTTTGGGGCGAGGAAACTCCAAAACAATGGTGATGGTCAATATCACTCCGTGCGAAGAACAAGCCACCGAGTCGAAGCGAAGCATTGAGTTCGCTGCTAAGATGCGGGACACTCACATTGGATCAGCAGTACAGCAACGCGATCAATAAGGAAATTACCCGTCTGCACCCATCTGACCATTTTGTCAAATAGAATTATTATTCTTCATGTACAATAACTTATTTCTATTTAACTAATTTTTAAAAATTTAACTACTAGCAATGAAGAAGTTCACTGTTTCTCTGGAGTTCTCGTATTGAAAAAAAAAAACTGAATGGTAGACTGCCGAGCCTTGCTATCTTTCTCAAATTGGCTTCCGCTTGAGAAATCCTAATATTCCAACTTGTTTCAGATGTTGGGTATTTACCGTCCGAAGGCAGAACCTGCAGATGGTAACAAGCAAATTGAGAGAACGACAAGGACACGACCGGCAGTAAATGTGGAGAATGGTCCGAGAACCAGATCAGCGTCGACTCGGTAAGATTCTATTATACAATCGTAATTATTCCCGAGTTCCAGTCGTACCAAGGAGCAACCGATAACCATCACATACCTTGGGCGATCACGCACGGCCAGTGAAAGTGATGCTACAACTTCCGTTCGGGCTGTTCGTTCTTCTACCTCGAAGAAACTTCAGCAGTCTGTTTCTGTGAAAACCAAAACAGATGATCTCAGTTCATCATCTTCTTCGGATTCAGTGTCATTCTCCAGCAGTTCTCAAGCCGCTGCTTTCATCGATATTTTGAACAAAATTGGAGCAACAGCGAAAACGGAGAATAAATGTAATTCCAATTTCTGATTGAGTTCAAAAATAATCTTTTTTTTTACAGACATTCGCCGATTGAAAGTGCTCAACTCGCGGAACTCGAGGAAGTTTGAAGAAGAGGTGGCCAAAAACGAGCGCCTTGCTTTTGCAGCAATCCAATTTCTCACAAAACGGAATATTTGGTCGTTGAACGCCTGCTACGCTTATCTTCCAATAATCATCGGTAAGTTATGAGAAGGCTTACTTTTCAACAGAATCGTGGTGTTTCAGAGAACCTCGTCAGTCAAAATGCGTCAGACCAGTCGATAGTGTTGAACGGATTGGAATCGATATCAGACACTGTCCTGGAACCTATTCTTCGTTTTGCAACTGGTGGAGCAACTCGGATCGGAGTAGATGTTGTCGCTGAGGAACGAGCTGCAAAAGCGAAGGAATGTGTCCGTCTATTCCGCGGAATTGTGAAGAATAGAGATGCTTACTATAAGCAACTAGACGAAAATGCCATATTTCAGTTGGATAATATCCTGGCGCAACTGAAAAAAGCCTAATGCATTGCACACCATACCATGATTCATTGTACTATGATCCGTCTTATCAATCCCATGATGTAAAGTTTTAAGCCCACCCATCTTCACACTAAATCCTTCATCTGTAAAATACTCGTATTTATCTGGTCCCCTTTAAAAAGATCGTTTTGTTTAATGCACATGAATTTCTGAATTTTCTAGGTTTCGTTTTTATTAATTCGCCACACAAGTCAACTAGTTAGCTATACGATTTGCGGTATTCCTATATTCACGGTTTCGATGCTAAAGCAGGCAGGGTGCAATGGAGTTACAAAAATATGTTGACGATTTGAATGAGAAGACAAAGGATGTGTATACTTCTCGCCCCCAAAAAAACGAAACAAAATCATTTATCACAGCTGTATCCGATGAAAAGTGACGTGGAGAAAGCTGTTCTGAAAATCTCAAATCTGTTTAACTGCTCCGAATCGAGCTAAGATATAATCAAGACACTAAAATGCGACTCGCTTGTTGCCCTAGGCATAGCTCCGTTAACAAAAAGGGAATTCTAAAAATTTAGATGCGATGGTTTTTGGAAACGACTACAATCAGATGTTGATATCAATATTTCAGGGCATTCATCACTGATGTAGATGAAGACAATTCATCCAATCTTTACGCTTCGCCGATTTAAATTTCAACAAACTATACGCCATCCGAATCGCATTGTAATTTGTAAAATGTAAAAAGTTTTATATCAGCTACACAAGAATCACAGTTTTTGACTAAACCATCGACCAACGAAAAAACAATTCTGAGAATCCTCCCATCTGGCAAAATTGATCTGCAGCCGCGTCAGAATCAACAGTTCAATGGTGACACTTGCTTGGAGCACACGCATGTTCTCTCGAAGCTTCAGAAAGTCAATTCACTCAGCGTGCCGACGACGTTCAAGGCACTGACACAATATGTTTTCCTGAGAACTAATTCAACAATGAAAGATTTATTCCTATAAAATAGCCCGAGCTCATATCTAGAACAATAAGAAAGAAGTTACACTGAAAGTTCAAATTTTATTTATTAGGTCCAGTATTTTATCACAGGAAGTGGGCGGAGCCTATGATGTTGCCTTATGGGAAAGATGATGTTCTAGATGGATATATATGGATAAATGTGTAATTTTGACGGGAAAAGTAAAATTTAAAATGTCTTTCAGAATTGAAGATTGAAAACTGTAACAGCTAGCTTTCCCCAGGAAAGGGGCGGAGCCAATTGGAATGGTTAGGTGAATAAATTTATATTATCTGCTAAATACCCATTTCTGATAATTACTTCACCATTTTATTGATAAAATACTGGACATCTTCCGAATATTTATTAGTTGGGCTACTGTAGCCTTTAAAGGGACGATATCGAAAGTTTTCTTTAGTGGCGAGACACCAGAGCATTTGACTGCGAAAAAACCTATCGATCGGCGGCGCCAAAATGAAATTCGAAACAATGTCTATTTTGCACTTCGCAGTCTTTATTCGGCATCGTCATGATCGGTCGTCGTCGAAGCGGCGGACTTGCAGTTCGATCAATCGCATCTCGTTCGATTGCAGCACGTTCACCAACACTGACAGGTAAGGAAAGAGTGTAAAATCACTAGGAGTAAGCAGAATGACATTAAAATGATTTTCCGTACTGAGATTAACAATTATTGAAGAAAACATTTCATTGTATCGTATTCTAATTACAGCGTCTCGTCGAGTCACTTCGTCTAGAGGACCATTGCCAAGCTTAGCTGAGCCACTGCCATCGCCGTTGACAACTGGAAGACACTCAACACTCGGACATTCTGGATGTCCCGCATTGACGAAAGCGACTTCTGCGAATGTCTCACGCGTCCCTATTGCGTCTCGTCCTTCTTCAACGTCTAGCAGACCGCCGTCCACATCTTCCGTCCGGTCTGTCACATCGCAACGCTCAACTTTCGTCGCCAACAAGACAATCGCTGCACCTGCTCGAGTTAGGCCAGTGGGGCGAGCATCCGTTCCTGTTATTTCTCGTCAACCATCACAAGTCGATGTTCTCAAAGCAAAAGTCGCAGCGATGGAAAAGGATATTGTGGAGAAGGACGAACGGTTGCAAATGGCGAATGATACAGCGGAAATGCAGAAGGAAAGCATAGAAATGTACAAAGAGCGGCTAGAAGTGATGAGCACGAAAGTGGACGCGCTGAACGTGCAAGTGGACGTGCTGAAGACGGAGAGTAGTCATCTGAAGGCAGAAGACGAACAGAAAGAGGTGCGAATCGGAGAATTGACGAGCCAGTTGAACGAGAAGGAGAGTATCATGCGAAAGCTGCACAACGATGTCATTGACTTGCGAGGCCAGATTCGTGTAGTTGTTCGTGTGCGTCCGATGCTTAGATCTGAAGTCGAGACGAGTGTTTCCGCTATCGAATACCCGACAATCAATTCCATCATTGTTAATCAAGGATCGAAATCGTCTGGAGCAATGACGTTTGAAAAAGTGTTTACACCTATCTTCACTCAAAGTCAAGTGTTCTGTGAAATCGAGGATTTCATTCTGGTAAGCGACAGGAAACTGATCCTCCAACCATAAATCATTTCAGTCCGCTCTCCATGGCTACAATGTCGGTTTGATTGCTTTCGGGCAGACAGGAAGCGGCAAAACTCATACGATGAGAGGAGGAGATGGCGAAAATGAAGGGATCATTCCAAGAGCTGCCTCGTTTTTGTTCAGCGCATCAAAGCAGCTAGAAGCGACTGGATGGCAATTTCAGTTTTCGCTATCTTTCCTGGAAATCTACAACAACGAAGCCTATGACCTTCTAAATAATCACAACGTTGTCAAATTGCGTCTCGTCAAAGAAACCGTGTCAGTAGTATACAAATGGTTGACGCTGGACGGTCATTTTGCCCAAATGACGTTTTCTGCACTTTTCAGCTATTTTAACGCTTATTTTCATCAGAAAAGTGCCTAAGCTCATCGGAAATCAGTCATTTTCGAAAAACGACACTTTTTAGGCTGGACGTAGAAGTGACCATTTTGCCCAAATGCGATTTTTGCAGATTTTCAACATTTTAAAAACATTTTAAGGCTTATTTTCAACAATTTTCAAAAATGGGGAAAGGTGTAGTTTGTAGTTTCTTATAAAAATGATGATTAATAAATGGCGAAGCTAGAAAAAGATCTAAAGCCTTTAACAAATCTAGATCTCATTGAATTAATTGACACATTAGGAATCAAGAGTTTCCGTGGTGTGTTTATGCGAGATACTTTACCAGCGAAGCCGAAAGATAAAGAAGTAGGTATTGTAAATTTAGATTCTTCTGAAGGTAGAGGAACACATTGGGTTTGTTATTCCAAAAATAAAGATAAAATATATTACTTTGATTCGTTCGGATTAGATCCACCTTTAGAACTTCAAGAATATTTAAAAAATGGAGAAGATAAAATAAAAATATTGAGTTCAACATTTCAAATTCAAGACTTCGCAAGTCATCACTGTGGTTATTATTGCTTACTTCTTCTGAAACTACTAGAAACTAAAGACTTTCAAAATATTGTTTTATCATTTCTATAAAAGATTCGGTTTAATACAAGAATCTCAGATTCCCAGAACCTCCGGTTTGATATTCACATTTCCAAATGCCATTGTCGAGTGATTATCTTTTATTATGTAACGTTTATGTTCTGTAGAATTTTCAGAGTTATTGAGAGCTACTTTATTCTGACATTGTGTGAAAATAGTGTGTTTAACACTTCTGATAGTATATTGAGTTTTCCTAATAATACTCTTATTAAAAAGGCTATGCTTATAATCATCGAGTGTCAGTTCATTCTTGACAATATTTTTCTTTATTCCTTTACTTTTCTTAGTTTCTTCACCATCTAGAGTCTTAAAACCATATTGTTTAGGTTTTAAAGCAAGTAATTCAGTCATAATTTTACCATTCAATTCATCTTTGAATTTTCCAACAACTTTTTTATTTTCTTCTGAGTATAATACATGATCTTTCGGATAATCACTAAAATCGAAATATTTTTGAAAATCTATATCTTCTTCCGCATCTTTGTAGAAATCTTCAGTCTTGATGTCATATATGAGACTGTCAGTATCTTGATAACATAACTCTACATTTTGATATCCATACTTTTTCTGCATTACATTATAATGAAAATCATACATCAACCACTTACTCAGATCTAGAATAGCAAAACCGACATAAATAGGTTTATCAAGTGTTATATTGGTTTTCTCCATTTCTACAGCAGATAACTCTTCATTATACATAATGGTTCTTTTAAAGTTAGGTTTTGAAGCAAGCTTAACTATTTTATGCTCATCAGTAACTAAACGAACATCAATTCGTTCTCTAACATTTTCCATAGTTTTTCCAAAAACTGAGTTATTCATTAATTTGAAGAAATCTTTTTCAAACTCATTGTTTGCTTGTTTTCGAAGATTAGTGTTCATTTCAATATATTCTTTGAGCCAATCACTATCTTTAAAGGTTAGAATTCTATGAATTTTTTTTCACTTTAAGACCTAATTGGAGACATTGTAGCAAATTCTTATAATGGATTACATATTTTTCTTTATCGAATAAGGTATTGCATAACTTTTTTACTGTTTGCTTAAAACCTATGGTTCCGGGAATCTTTGATTCTTTATTAATTTTTACATTTTCTGGACACAAAGGAAAATCATTGTGCTTTGAGTGTAAATTTTTAGGATATTCCAAATCTACTTCGAAAATACATCCTTTACCTAAATTTTTCAAATAATCAATATAGTCCTCTATTTTTAAACTCTCATCATTGAGAATATCAATTGAAGATTGAGTTTCGAATTGAAAATCTCCAGTAGGTAAATTTTGACACATTGCCCAACCATATAAATTATTGGCATCTAAGTACAATAGATAATTTGAAGGAATTGATGGATCAAAAGTATTAGTGTATTTATTATTAACCTTAGAGTATCTTTTAACAGCATTAACTATTCCACCTCTTATTCCCTTCTCAATCATCAAGTATTTCTCAACATCTTGGAGTACTTCTAATTCCACTTTAGTCTTTTTCAACATAGCATCCCAAGCTAATCCAGGACTTGTGAAATACCAACAAGGATCAAGTTCATAAACACGGAGACTCAAGTTTCTAAAATTCTCAAAAACATCTGCCAAGAGAAGGACATCATTGATCATATAAATTTCAGTATAATCTTCTGAATTCTTACAGTTCATTTTATTCCAAACTAACTTAGCATATAGATAATCGTTTTGCGAGCATTTTTTACCATTTAGATAATCATAAAATGCTGAAATACTTGGCAATTTTGTTTCTTGAAATCGCTTGAAAGAATCCATGTACTCATATGGATAAACACCTTTTCTTTGCATCAATTCGAATTTTTTTTTGGAAGAAGAGTAATAATCTCTACTAATATGAAAAAGATCTTCACTCAAGTTGCTAGCAAGTTTATCCAGTGAAGAAGGCATGAAAGAAAAAGAATCTAGAAATCTACATTCACATCTATCATATACATTATCTGTCTCTGAAGGTAACTTGTAACTAAAACTAATAAATTTTTCTGTGTTACTAGAAATATTTTTGATGTCAATTTCATGCTCATTCAAATATTTAGTACTTTCAAGACATCCAACAATCAGATGAGAGTCATAACCTCTAAGATTGTGAAAGAATATCGGAATGAAGGTATTTTTTCTTTTCAATAGATTACATGCTCCACAAAGAGGTCCACGATATTCTCCAGTCAAATGATCATGATCTCTAACTTTAGTCGTTTTCATTTCTTTAGAATCATACTTTATTGAACAATTAGGGCACTCTTTATTCTCATCATGGAAAGTCCATTCTTCTTCAGTTAATTCTCTCATTTCCACATCACTTAAATGCATAATTTCTTGAAATATTTTAATGATGTATTTATTAAATTCTAGCGCAGTATTATGCCCAATATAAGATTTGATACTATACAATTTTTTGGTGAAAGAATCAACTACTATGACACAAAATCCAGCTGGAATGTGTTTTCCAACATCAGTAGTCCAAGATATATTTGGATTATCTAGTGCTCTTTGATATTTCTCAATGATACTTTCAAAGTCTGCATAAATGACGTATCTATGCTTTTGTGTATTACTGATATTTTTGAACTTTACAGAGGTTTTCTTGGATAGTTTGTGTGAAACCGGTTTGTTTTTACCACAGTCCTCTAAATGTCTGTGATAATTTGATCTAATCTTATCATTCATATTTACATTATAAGAGCAATGACATCTAACACAGAACTTTTTTTGATGCTCTCCTCGTTTATTCATAAGGGTATCAAGATTTTTGATTAGGGAGTAATGTGAATTTCCTTCTTTATTTTCATAATATAATAAGTTGATAACTTTGCTATCATCAGCAGTGATTCCTCTTGAAGGACGTAATGGATTTATTTGTCCTTTTTCAGTACATTCTACCACATTTACAACAAGATCATTCATTTTCTCAAACTTATTTATATCTTTTATTTTCATTGGAAAAGTTAGATCTCCAAAGTTTAGTTCATTTTGATAAGGAGTGTAACTATAAATTTCTGAAACATGATGTTTTGCTGGATGAAGATGAGCTAATATAGACCACATAAAACACTTGTCATCATTATTTTTAGGATTAATGACGCAATGTTTAGCATTAATACATTTTGGAAGATCCATGTAGAAATAACCACTAGGTGAATGACACATAGTCTGGTTCATCTCAAGGTAATTTATTCCTGAAATAGTCCAACCAGAACCTCTTGATTGCAAATTCTCCATGTTCATCATCAGTTCTTGACATGCATGTTGATACCATTCTTCTCGATCTTCACCAACACACAATTCCTTAGTTTCTGATCTTACAGCAAAGTTTTCACTTTTTTGAGAGTCTTTCTTTTGCTTGAATTCTAGTTTCAAATATATTTTAACTGAAGTATCACTTCGAATATCATTGATCACAAAATTTTCGTTCTTTTCAAAGAAAGAATTTATAATTTTTGTGATGATTTTCATATAATATTCAATTCCTCTTTCCTCAAAAAGGTCAAAGTATTTTTCAAAATATATTTCTTTGCCTTTGTTTCTATACACGGTAGTTCTTACAATTCCTTTTTTAGTTTCTTTGTAATCACTAAAAATAAGATCTTCGAAGGGAAATACTTCCTTAAGCGTAAGTGGAACATCTCTAATTTCAGCTTGGTTTATTTGTAAATGTTCTCTAATAAATGTCAGAAGTTCTGAAGTGCTCATAGATCTTAATTGTTGTGATTTGAGGATTCTTTTACTTTTTACACCTCCGGACATTATATCAAGAAGTTTAATAACTTCTTTACGAAGATCATCTCTTGACATTTTTTCGAAATGATCCATTTTTTCAGAAGTAATTACTTTTTCAAAAGCTTAGAAGGATGTCAGACTTCCTTTTTATATAGAAAAAAATTTTTCAAGAAAAATCTAAATTTCTAACTCAGTGAAGTAATGTCTTTGAACTTCATAATAAAATCAATCATCTCTTGTTTTCTCATAGTTTGGATTTTTTTGGATTTGAGAATGTATTTTCTTAATTCACTTCCAATCATTGCAACTTTTCTACGAACTTCATCTCTTTTCATTTTCTTTAGATCTTCTTCTTCAACAGGTGTTGAATTTAAAGAAATATCTTGGAAACTTACTTCTTGAGTAATTTCTTCCATTTATAAATACAATAATTTTTATAAAGATTGTAAATCTCCGGATTCTTTGAATTTAAATAAAGATTGTAAATCTCCGGATTCTTCGAATTTAAATAAATTACTTTTTCAAAAAATGTCTCCAACTTCAGTAGAAATCTATGATCCCAAGAAAAGGAATGAGATAATAAATTCATTCTTGAAGAATAGAAAAGAACACAAATTCAAGAATTTAGAAGAGCGCAGCAATTTAGAAAACGTAGAAGATCACCGTATAGAAGTATTCAAACCCATACTAGAATCAAATAAGAAACTACAAGAAGAAATCATTGATGAAAAGAATAAGATAGTTCAAACTCTTAATTCATTTAGGGATTCTCCAAGACAACAACAAATTTTACCACAATTAGCAACTCCTACTAAACAAATTCAATCTAGTAGTCCAAAACCAAAAGATCATTCAAACGAACCGAAGGTTCTAGGATTCTCTGAATCTGTAATCAAAGTTTCCAACTTAATTGCTACTTACTTACAAGATCCTAGAGATAAAAGTAATGCAGGATATTCAATAAGGTATAATAATGATACTAAAGGCTATTCAATTGGAAATAAAGAAATAATATTTGATGATAATACGATGGAAATCAATAATTATGTATACATTGCACCGAATGGTTTAATGGAATTACTAACTAAGAAATCTCCAGATCTCAATAAAGTTAAGAATGATGATACTCAAAATTATCGAGAAATCTTACTTTGTTCAGATGCACTGTATCAAAAATTTGATAAAAGTAGTAAAAGATATAATGCTGATGCAAGTGATAAATGGAAATTCATAAAAGATAATTATTTTACTTCTAGAACTCAAAGTAGTCAAAATACTCAAAGTGGATCATCGATTAATCCAATTCCAGATTCTAGGAAAATCATAGGTTTTCTACCCCCAAAAATTAATGATCTGATGGATCAATTAAGATTGAGTATTGGTTCTTATCAAGCTGGAAATAATGGGGAATACAACAAAATCCATGCTATTTTAGATGAATTAATTCGTAGGAGAAAAATAAAAAAGAAAGATTTACCAAGTATTTATTTAGGTATCGGATTGTAAATCGTAATGACCAAAGTATTTTTCAAATGGGTATTGGTCTTTAGAGCGTATTTAAAAGAATTATTTAGCAGGTTTTTCACTTCTAGGAAGCTTTGCTTACGCTGCTTACCTGCTGACGCTGAATAATATTATTCTCTGATCCACTACCTTTTTTGACATATGCTCTTGAAACACTTGAAAATTCTCCTGGAACTCCTACTCTTTTATACTTTTCTCCATATTGCTTATCTTCTAACTCCAAATCATTTAGAAAATCAAGACATTCCTTATTTGATAAGGTCTTTTTAGTTTTCAAAGTAATTGCTAAATCAATAGTAGGAATTTCTACACTCTGGGATTTCAGTTTTTCATTATATTTCTTTCTAAGTTCATTATGCTCGTCGCTTTCTTTTTGAAAGTCGCGATGTAATTGTTCAATTAAAAGTTGTTTCTTTTTATTAGAAATCTTGGAAACATTGATTATAATACTTTTACATTCACTTTCACACTTCTTAATCAAAAATTCAGTAAATGCATATTTATAAGCTGTTTTATCTGCATCAGATATTTTAGAACTTTCTACACTGGTTATCATATTTTCAATGGCATCTAAATAGTTCTGAGCAGTTTCTCTAGTATTTTCATTTTTCGTATACATACTTATTTCTGTCAAGTCTACATTTGATGATCCATTAATTTTTTGTACATCTTTTATAAATCTGGATAGTCTCAACTCTGTCATTTATTACGGTAAAAAATTCGAAGTAATAAAGTAAAGTAATATTGTAATAAGGTATGGCAATAGGGTAAGTTAATAGAGTAAAGTAAAGTAATAAAGTAAAGTAAAGTAAAAAGGAAAATAATTTTCTAAATAAATGGAAGTACAACAATTGATAGAAGAGCTGAAAATATATGATTTTAAAATGAATAGTATTTCATCTTATTCTAAGAAAACAGGAATATCACCTAAAACAATCAAAAAGTATCTACTACTGAATAATATTCCTCATAATTCTAAAGGAGTTGTGAATGATCTAAAAAGAGATGCTAGTGGAAGGTATTGTCTTTCTAAAAGTAAGATAAATTTTCCAGAGTGTGAAAGTCTTACTAAAGAGAAGAAAAAAAATTTGATCAAAAAGAGAACAACAGAAGAACAGATAGCTTTTATTCAGAGAAGTGTTCAAAATTGAAAATTTCAAGGATTTTCTTTTAGAAAAGATTGTCAAAATCTTCAGAATAAAAAAAAATCGAAGTTTTCCTAGGCTTTTGTAATCAAAAGACGTAAAAATATTTCAAACACTTTCTGAATCTTCCATCATCAAGGTCACTAGATTTATCAATTGTTAAAAAATTATATTTCTCCTTGAATGTATCTCTTGTAAATTCAAGAAATTCATCTTTCTTGATTTCTGAACAGTGATCCCTGTAGATGTAATCTAAATTCATCTTATCTTGAGGAAATACTATGAAGAAGTTAGCATTCTCTCTAATTGTATTCTTTGGAAGTTTTATATAATTCTGAGAGATGTAAAAACAATCCACTCCGGAGTGTCTTCCTCTTGTATAATATTGTTCTATTTTATTTTGTTTTTCTAATAAAAGATCATCAAAAATTATTAAAGTCTTTTTATTGGGATCTAATGATGAAGGATCTGGGATATCTTGTAAAGAATCACTACTCACAACGTTTATTGTTGATTTTACAATTTCTTTTTCCACAATTATGAAGTCTTGTTTTTTGAAACACTCTCTAATTTCTTTTTTACTTAATCCTTCACTAAGTCCATTAATTAATGCTTGATAACAAGGTTGAAATAATGTTGTACTAAAAATATACAAATTATTGTAATCAAGGTATTCTTCTCCTTTGTAAGCATCCAAAAGTAAATTCATTAGTAAGTTAGTCTTTCCACATCCACTCTTACCAATTATACATCCTCTTATTGATTGAGGAAGCAAAGGATTATTGTTACGAAGTGGATAATAATTTTTAACTGAATAATCTGCAAATTCTTCTTTTTCAGAAGTCATTTTCTCAAGATTTCACAGTATTTAAAGTATTTGAAAATTTTAAGATAAAATAAATTATTTAAATAAAGAGAATGACAAGTCTCTTCTTAAATTTATATCGAACAAATGAAAAGACATTTCAATTTCCACAAGATTTGAAAATTAGTAGTATTAGTATTGTTCGTATTGATGGAATTTTAGATACTTCTAATTTCAAAGTAAACAATTTCATTTATCTATCCTGTAATCTTATTTGTGATACCATCATTGATGAAAGACAGAGTAACATAATTTGCAAGTTTCCTTTAGGTTCTAATGGAGAAGTAAAATATGAACCAATAAACCTTATATATCATCGAAGTGTTAATAATTGTAATACTTTGACATTAAAATTAGTGGACGATAAAAATAACCTTATTGACTTCAATAAGTGTGATCTTCATATAGAATTACACTTTAAAACGTAAAAATGGAATAATAAAAATTCAATTCTTTTAAAAATCAGAGGTTCCGGAAGGATCTTAGATCCTTTTGAAACCTGATCCTTCGCTAGGTTTTCCTTTCTTTAATGCTCTAAGAAAGTCTGCATTCTTTTTATTCAAACCTTCGGTTCTAGAAGTCTTCGACTTTGTCAATCCTTTGGATCTAGAAGTCTTCGACTTTTGAGTAATACTTCCTCCTTCTCTCACTTTATCTTCTATTTCTATTTTTTCTTGAACTGGATTTTCAACTAGTTGTATTTTATCTTTCTCTTTTGGAGTTGCAATTAAATAGCTTGAAGAATTTCCAGAATCAAAGAATCTCATTGCAAATTTATTACTACATAAATCTTACATCTACTTAGAAGCTTCCTTGACTAAATTAGACTCTACAGCTTTAGTGGAAGCTGATGAAGTTACACTCTCCAACAATGCTCCAATGTTTTTATTTGATAGAGCAACTTATAGTATGGATGGTATGCAAGTTGAAAATGTCATTGAAGAGCTTCACTTATGAAAGGCCTCCTTACTTATTCTTCCACAATGAATAAACAAAATACTTTTGGTTGGATCCTTGAGACAAAGGATATTATGAATTATAAGATTAATAAATACACTAAGAATAGAAAAGGCTTACTTACTTTTTGTATTCCACTGACTCATATTTTTGGATTCTCGGAGTGTTACAATCGAATAATTTACGGAAGCAAACACACTCTTTCACTCTACAGATCTCCAGAAAATAAGAATAGTATTACCTCAACGGCGCTATATGAGTTGAGGGGTGCCACTCAAAGTTTTGATTTTTACGCCATTTTTTCCACACTCGCGTGACATTCCACATTTTTAAAAATATTGCTTTTCCGGAAATTTTTTTGACGTTTTTTTTTGAAAAAAAAAATAATTTTTGACGTCAATTTTTTTTCACTTTTTTTAACCATATTTTTTTCAGAATTTTTTTTACGTAAATTGAACTTCCGCGCAAAACTGCTCGCCTCATCCGCAAACACTCTCCCGCCACACTGCGTACTTCTATAATATTGTGAAAAGCGCAAACGATTCATCAACTTTGTTGGCCTTTTTTCGATTTTTCAACCAGTTTTATTGTTTTTTCGATGAATTTTCAAGTTTTTTGTTCGTCTTTTGAGTTTTTGTGTGTAAAAACTGTTCAAAATTTCGCTAGAAGAACGCATTTTTCTTGATTTTTGTCAGATAATTCTTCTCCCATTCTCGTCATTTTCTCTCAATGTTCCACTTCGTCATTTTCTTCTAAACATAGGTCTTGGCAGGAGGAAAACAGCGTTTTCACCTAAGTCTATTGTTTTAAACAAAAATTTTTTAAAAATTGAGCGAAACATGTGGAAATGTTCATTTATCTTCGCGAATTTAATTATTTTTTGACTGAAATTTTTCAAACTTTTGTTTCATTCCTTGTCCAAAATAATAGGCTTAGGCAAGAAAATCTTGTTTTTAAACAATTCTCCGTCAATGTTTATTTGTTTCAGAAATAGGACTACGAAGCTTTCCGGAAAAGCAATATTTTTAAAAATGTGGAATGTCACGCGAGTGTGGAAAAAATGGCGTAAAAATCAAAATTTTGAGTGGCACCCCTTAACTCATATAGCCCCCTTCAACAGATCCTACTAAATTTACTGCTAAGATGACTATTAATAAACTTCAATGGATAATTCCTAAAATTATGCTTAGTCTAGAAATGCAAAATAAGTTACTCAATGTCTTTGAGAGTAATAAATTAGTTCAAATGCCTTTTATTTCACGACAATTTGAGAGTTATAATATTCCTAATGGTAATCGTGAATTCACTTGGAAACTAGGAACTAAATATGATAAAATAAAATACCTTGTCATAGCTTTTCAAACTGCTAGAGATAACAATTATCTGAATGCTGCAAAGTTTGATAATTGTGAGTTAGAAGAAATTTATGTGGAACTCAATAGTGAGAGGTATCCATACGAATGTCTGAAGTTTGATTTTGATAAGTTCAATGCGGTCCAACAATACAATTTTGCAAAAGAATTCAGAAATAGTTATTACGAAAGCATCAAGGATTACATTTTCATGGAAGAAGATGTTTATTATTACTATTATCCACTTCTAGTATTTGATGTATCTAAACAGAATGATAGAATCATTGCATCTCGACCTGATGTTACAATAAAAGCCAGCTTCGCTAAAAACATTGCTCAAAGTACTAAATGTTACTGTCCGATTCTATCAGAAAATATTGTTGAAATCAAGGATAATAGAGTTAAAGTTGTCAGTATTTAATATAACTCCTTTATGTTTAGGATTTCATATCTATTTCTGGAATCCAAGAATCGAACTTATCTGGATATCCATACCACTTGACAAATATTTCTTTTACCATCTTACCGTTTTCCTTTCTATTTCTTTTCCGCAGAACTTTTTCTATTTTATATTCTTCTTTGACATTATTATAAAGTGTAAGTTCCTCAGAGTAAAACTTTCCTTTAATTTCCTCATCTGCTAAATCTTTTATTGAATACATAATTGGATCACCTATTAGAACTTCTGAAATCTTAAATTACTCTGTACTCCAATTTGGTAGATATCCTTTATCAAAAATAGCTTTATATTTTGTAATTCTGACAGTATCACCTATTTTGAATTTTGTAGAATTTTCTATTTTATTATTAGATTCACCTTCTAATTTCGAAGGAAATAAGTTATTATACACAATTCTTTCATTTTCTATTTTTGAAGCCTGCGTGGGAGTCATTTTTATTGAAGTGTGATAATGATTATTATATCCTAACACAAGATCATCAAGAATATCAACCCACTTATGATTGCCTTGATGAGTAAACATCTTCCACATCTTTTCTTTTAAGGTTCTATTAAATCTTTCGATAATAGAAGCTTTCTTATCTGAATAAGTTGAGAAGTGATTAATTTCTAATGATTTAAATAATTTTTGCATGCTAGTATTATAATATTCTTTACCATTATCAGTTTGCATCTTTTTGGGTTTTCTTTTACTCTTTGTAAAGACTGAAGAAAGAGCATCTGCAGTTTCTTTACCACTTTTACTTTTCAAAGGTACTACCCATGCAAACTTTGAAAAACAATCAATGATAGTTAAAAGATATCTATATCCTTCATTTTCTTGCTCGTAGGGAATCATTTCTACGAGATCTGACTGCCACTGATCATCTATTCCATTCACAAAGACTCTTTGACTCTTGAAATTCTTTCTAGCTGGTTTGTGAAGAGTGTAAACATCTTGTTCATTCAGAAATTCTTTGACTTCCTTGATTGGTAACTTTGTTTTTCGTTGCAATTCGTTGACTCCACAAAATCCTGATTCAGGAGAGTAATAAGTTTTTTCTAAAAGATCTCTTTCACCTTCGGAACTTGTGGATTGTCTAAGAATTTTAGATTTTTCACTAATTTCAACCTCCTTGATATCTTCTAATCCAGAACCTCCTGTGATTGTTGGAATTAGCTTACACTTCATTGTTTTACAATCTTGGCATAACCCTTTTATCATAGAACGTTTCGAGCTTGTTTCAACATTAAATATGTCAGTAGTATCAGTATATTTTTTACATTTGAAACAGTATACTAATTCCATAATTTAGAAGTTAAATTTTTTTGGCTACAAATATCTTATTTGATTTTGTGAAATGGGGGACGTTCAGTGAAAATGGATGTCTTCACTAGAAAGTGAATTCACTTCCACCTAGCCATGAACCCCAAACATGCCTACCTCACCTGAGGTATTAACTTTTTTCACTTGACTTCAATCAAATAAGATATTTGTTTTGCTTTTTCAAAAAAAACCAAGATAAAATAACAACAAACATGAAATAACAAAAAAATAACAACAATCAAATGATTATTCACTTTTCCCCCTCCGGAGAAGATTCTTCAAGTCGTTACATATACTTTTTTTTCTCAGAATTTCGATTGCTCATTTAACATTTCCTGCTGAAATATATCTTATTCATTTAAATTCTTTGTTGTTATTCTGAAGACGTTCATTACTCACCTTTAGTAGTTCGTTGAATCTTTCTTCTCGTTAAACATAATAAAATCTCTTGTTAATGAACACATCTTTCACTGATAAGAAGAGATTCATCAATTTCGTTAAATTGATGCTGTAGTAAAACCTGCAAATAAAGAATAATCTAGTGTATCATACAAAAAAAGACTTACCAGTTCTTTCTGTTCACTTTTACACTTTCTATGGAGAAGTAGAGATTTCTTGACACAAAAAGCATCCTCCATCTTATCTAATATATATATATAATTGAGGAATTTAAAAAATACCGTACGCAAAAAAATATATACCAATATTGATAAAGTTAACTAAAATTTTTAACTAAGCAATGAAGATAAATTAATTAAATAAATTTGACTTTTGGCGCCGCAAAATATTGAACTCCGCTTGAAAATCATCTTGAAAATGAAATAACAACACAAAAACTGAAGAAATTCTGCGACGCAAATCGTTTTTAAATGAGACACTTTGTCCTTTCATACCTGTTTGCCAGCACCTTCGAGAAAGTTATTTAGGTGTGACCAAACTCATCGAGTTCTCTCTTTCTCCTTCTGTTTTTTCCTTTGGTGTGACGCATAAAGGTCAGCAGTGTTCCCTTTCTCTTTGTGTGACCTTCTTTTCTCTTCCTCACTGTGACCGAGCGCAATCACATATTTGCTCCACTTGAACTAGACGCACGCAAACGCGTTGGGATAGAGTGGAAGGCAGAGACGCAGAGAAACACGGGACGTTGCCAACATCGCATTTTCTTGCATCCTTACTCTTCCATTAACTTTTGTGAATAGAAAAGAGACTTCCTTTTCTTCTGTAGTTCCCGTTTTTCCCCAATTATTTTATATTTTGAAACAGCGTTTAATTCTAGGAGTTATGTTTCATATTTTTTCAACAATTTTTTTGTTACGGATTAGACTTGCTACGAGATTTTGATTTTTATATTGACGAATATTATTTAACGATTTATTGTTTCAGAAAAAATGGCTAATGAAGATACTGCTCGGATTTGGGAGGATTTTCTCAAAGTTGCAAAGCGTGGGACAAAAAAGGGAGGAATTCGTGTTTACAAAATCGATTTATGCAAGAATGCGATCAAACTGTCGGATAAATTAATGGAATATGGTCCAATAAGCGGAGATCGACTTGATATTTGGGTGGAATACCTCGGTAAAGTCTATGAGATGTTGGAAGGAGACAAGGACACGATAGAAAGTATGTATTTACCTATATTTTCAGAGTTTATTTTTACTTTTTATTTTTTTCTAAATAATTTTTACAGGAACTGTTCGAGAATATTTCTTGGCGTTGCATTCTGGAGGAGCTTGGAATTTTTCAATAAAATTCTCAGGTAATATAATGTTGATATAAATACTATGTATTTGTTTTTTAAATTTTTTTACAAATTCAACATGTTTAAATTTATCATTTTTCAAGCTTAAAAATTTTAATGAAATGGTTTTTTAGATAAAACCGAAGGTATGTCGATTGGACTGGTATGTGATGTAAAGCATTCTGATTTGGATCAGCGCTATTTTATAAAATGCCATCAACGTGGTCCACGACCAACCTCTTCATCCATATCGAGTCGATATAATAGTATTAGTCTACCGTACGTCCAAGAGTTATACGTCTATAAGGTATTCCATTGAATTACTCGAACAAGAATAACATTTTAGTTTTAATTCACATTTTTAGTTACTATCGTTGATCCAAATCTGCGGTGAAGTCCATTTTATATTTCCACAAACTTCCGCCACAAAGAAGACATTGTACATTGGAACTCGGGAGATCAAATTTACACCAGCGAAACAGTTGACTTTCAAAGAAGCAAATCCTCGTGCTTTGATGTTAGTGCACTTTCTTCAATTTATCTTGCGTCTGGAAGATATTGGGACGAATAGCGGGAACTACGGTCAAAATGATGAAGGAGAACCCGTAATCATCGATTTTTGGTAATTTTTGTTTTGTTAAAAATTCTAAATGTAACTTGTTCGGTTTTAGGGTTACACCTAAAGAAGACTATACACTTTCCGATAATCAGATTGAGGATTTTTGGAAAAATCAACATGGCAGTAATTCCAAAATTATCTCCGAAGTTATGACGAGAGTGCCACGTGAGGAAAGAAGAAAAATTATACATGAAGCAATGGAAACCTGGTCGCTAATAAGGAAAATCGAAGAAGCTAAATCCGCCATAGAAGAATTTCTCTTAAAAAGCGGAGAAAGGTTGGAAACAAGTGGAGATATTTCCCGATATGTTCGCGATATAAAGACTAATGTAATTAACATGAGTAAGTGTATTCCGACCATTGAAAAGCCATCTATTTGATTGGTGATTCCTGTGAATTTTCGTATTTTATCGAGAGAATAAAAAATTGCTTTGAAATAGTTTTAAATTGATAACCGGTGTTTATTCCTTTTAAAAATTCTTGGTTCTCTTTGGTTAATTTATTTTATTTGGTCTTTTAATAATAGTATGACTATTCTCCTTTTTTTCTACGTTTTTATTATCATTTTGTGACAATTTTAAACTCTGAACGGAATCAGCTAATCGAGTCCAAATTTATAGTACGTTTCTTTTTCTTTAATTCCTTCACTCTGCAAAGTATCTCTCATAAATACACCACGGAAATTCTTGATTCCCAGAGAGTCTACTCTACTAATTCAAGGAGATTCAGATTTGTTAAAAGCTTTAAATCTTTTGAAAAGCGCATTTATTAATTATCATTTTTATAAACTACAAAGTACACCTCCCCCCATTTTTGAAAATTGTTGAAAATAAGCCTTAAAATGTTTTTAAAATGTTGAAAATCTGCAAAAATCGCATTTGGGCAAAATGGTCACTTCTACGTCCAGCCTAAAAAGTGTCGTTTTTCAAAAATGACTGATTTCCGATGAGCTTAGGCACTTTTCTGATGAAAATAAGCGTTAAAATAGCTGAAAAGTGCAGAAAACGTCATTTGGGCAAAATGACCGTCCAGCGTCAACCATTTGTATACTACTCGTGTCCCTCGACGGATTGTCCGAGCATCCACTCAAGAAACAGTCTGATATGGCTGTTCTACTAAGAACAGCAGACTCAAACAGGAAAACGGCCAGTACCAAATGCAACGAGTACTCGTCTCGTTCTCATGCCATATACATGTGGAAAATCAAGGCAGAGCAGAAATCAACTGGTAAGCACTATATTTCTGTTGAAGCTGGAAATCTAATTCTTAATTCCAGGTATTTCGACCAACTCGGTGCTCAAACTGGTTGATTTGGCTGGATCGGAGCGCGCAAAGGAGTCGGGAGTTGTTGGACAACAATTCAAAGAGATGACCAACATCAATCAGTCCCTCTCCGTTCTTCAAAAGTGTGTCAGCATGCAAAAGTCAAAATCATCACATGTACCATATCGGGATAGCAAGCTCACACAAGTTCTTATGGATTGTTTGGGACGAGGAAACTCCAAAACAATGGTGATGGTCAATATCACTCCGTGCGAAGAACAAGCCACCGAGTCGAAGCGAAGCATTGAGTTCGCTGCTAAGATGTGGGACACTCACATTGGATCAGCAGTACAGCAACGCGAAATCAATAAGGAAATTACCCGTCTGCACCCATCTGACCATTTTGTCAAATAGAATTATCATTCTTCATGTACAATAACTTATTTCTTTTAAACTAATTTTTGAAAATTTAACTACTAGCAATGAAGAAGTTCACTGTTTCACTGGAGTTATCGTATTGAAAAAAAAAACTGAATGGTAGACTGCCGAGCCTTGCTATCTTTCTCAAATTGGCTTCCGCTTGAGAAATCCTAATATTACAACTTGTTTCAGATGTTGGGTATTTACCGTCCGAAGGCAGAACCTGCAGATGGTAACAAGCAAATTCAGAGAACGACAAGGACACGACCGGCAGTAAATGTGGAGAATGGTCCGAGAACCAGATCAGCGTCGACTCGGTAAGATTCTATTATACAATCGTAATTATTCCCGAGTTCCAGTCGTACCAAGGAGCAACCGATAACCATCACATACCTTGGGCGATCACGCACGGCCAGTGAAAGTGATGCTACAACTTCCGTTCGGGCTGTTCGTTCTTCTACCTCGAAGAAACTTCAGCAGTCTGTTTCTGTGAAAACCAAAACAGATGATCTCAGTTCATCATCTTCTTCGGATTCAGTGTCATTCTCCAGCAGTTCTCAAGCCGCTGCTTTCATCGATATTTTGAACAAAATTGGAGCAACAGCGAAAACGAAAACTGCTCCGAATCGAGCGAAGATATAATCAAAACACTAAAATGCGACTCGCTTGTTGCCCTAGGCATAGCTCCGTTAACAAAAAGGGAATTCTAAAAATTTAGATGCGATGGTTTTTGGAAACGACTACAATCAGATGTTGATATCAATATTTCAGGGCATTCATCACTGATGTAGATGAAGACAATTCATCCAATCTTTACGTTCGCCGGTTTAAATTTCAACAAACTATACGCCATCCGAATCGCATTGTAATTTGTAAAATGTAAAAAGTTTTATATCAGCTAGACAAGAATCACAGTTTTTGACTAAACCATCGACCAACGAAAAAACAATTCTGAGAATCCTCCCATCTGGCAAAATTGATCTGCAGCCGCGTCAGAATCAACAGTTCAATGGTGACACTTGCTTGGAGCACACGCATGTTCTCTCGAAGCTTCAGAAAGTCAATTCACTCAGCGTGCCGACGACGTTCAAGGCATTGACACAACATGTTTTCCTGAGAACTAATTTAACAATGAAAGATTTATTCCTATAAAATAGCCCGAACTCATATCTAGAACAATAAGAAAGAAGTTACACTGGAAGTTCAAATTTTATTTATTAGGTCCAGTATTTTATCACAGGAAGTGGGCGGAGCCTATGATGTTATGGGAAAGATGATGTTCTAGATGGATATATATGGATAAATGTGTAATTTTGACGAGAAAAGTAAAATTTAAAATGTCTTTCAGAATTGAAGATTGAAAACTGTAACAGCTAGCTTTCCCCAGGAAAGGGGCGGAGCCAATTGGAATGGTTAGGTGAAATTGGGTCCCTCGAAGATTACAGTTGCTGCTGGCCCTTCTTAAGGGAATCCTAATTTAATGAGAATCGTAGTCGTTTCAAGTAGTTCAGAGAATTCTGAAGAATTCAAAAATCCCTGGTTTTCACATCGTCAAAAAATGAAGGCTGATTCGTTTATTTTTCTCATTCACTTCTCCTAAATGAGCAAAAGTTACATGAATCTTCATCAATTGAGATAAAGATCAGGAAAAAATTATTCAAGCTAGTCAGAGAACTTCTTCGTCTTCTTCATGCACGTCTTCTACAACTGTTTAATATTTCTTTTATTTAAGATTCCATCATTCATTCCGTGTATTACGGTAACCTATGTAAAACTCCCTTTGATCTTTTTCATGACAATAAAAAATTTGAAATGCATATAAATTTATTCAGTCAGTCAGAAAAATATGAGAGAAGTGTTACTTTTTCTTTCCACCGGCTATAGCCAATCCTCCGATGGATCCCATAAGTCCACCGACTCCCGAGAAGATTCCTCCGAAATCTGGATCGGCAGCTTCAATCAGCGACAAGCACATGAGAGCGACGAGAACGAGAATAAGGAAGAAGGAATTCATTTTGTTGAAATGTGAAGAAAATGAAGCGGACGGTGCCTTTTTGTACTGGCCGAGAACTCTCATTATCTATCGAAATTCCCGGCTGGAATTGGTTTCATTTCCCATTTTCAGATTCTATTTGGAGAGGGAAAAAGGCCAAAAAACTGCTGATCATACAGTTCCGTGTTTCAAAAATCCAATTAAAAGAAATTAACACCAATTTATTTGGTTCAATATTAAATAATTGCTTGCTCAGAATCTGCGACGCGACAATTAAAAAAGTTATCAATTAGCAGACAGTTTAGAGAAAATAAATATTAAAAAAGAAACGAAATACCGAGAGAGAGAGAGAGAGAGAGAGAGAGAGAGAGAGAGAGAGAGAGAGAGAGAGAGAGAGAGAGAGAGAGAGAGAGAGAGAGAGAGAGAGAGAGAGAGAGAGAGGAGACAAGCAATTAATTACAACTGAGAAAAACAAATTAAAGAAGAGACGAGACACTCAAAACAATGTGTGTGCTGTTGGATGGGATGGGAACCGTAACTCGAGATCCAATCGGTTGTAAAAGAAACGGCGCAGTGAAAAAGGGGAGAAGGGCACAGAGAAAAATTTACATGGGTTTAAAAACATAAAAAAGGACAGGGGGACAGGAATGCGCGTTCTTAGAGCCCGGTGATAGATTGACCTAACCTTTTTAAGAGATTGGTCTTCAGGGAAAAAAATGAAGGAAAAGGACAGGGACAGAAAAGAGAAACTGGGATAGGGAAAGGAAAGAAAGAGTGACTAATTATGACTAAATTGGCTAAAGCTAAATGGCTAAATTATTATATTTTGTCAAAAACTTGTAAAAAGTTAATGATAAAATATTATTATTATTCGTTGTCTGTGTTAGATTTTACCTTCTGAGTTCTGTGAAAAAAGAAATGCGGCATCATTTGAAGGCTATGAAACTATCTACAGTAATTAAATGATGAGAATATATGGAAAAGAAAAAAAAAGTGATAACATAAAGAGAAAAAATACAGAGACCAATAGGAAAGAGAGATACAGAGTAGGAAAAAAAGAAGGCTTGGAAGAAACGGAAATAATAGAAATCACGGGATTTGGAAGACTAAAGACAGTTCATGAAATCGGTATGGAAAAGTGTGTCATCAGAGGAGAGGAAAATGCCAATGAAATTGGGAAAGAAAGATTTGGAAAAGTTGCGATTCACCGTTCAGCAATGAGAGTATCTGATTTGAAAGTTTGCAATTAAAAAAAAAAGAAAACGACAGGGATCTAAGCAAGACGAGCAGCTGGTTGTGCTGGAGCTCCGAACTTTCCCATATTTGAAAGAAAATCTTCTTCCGGATCGGTTCCGTTCGGTGATGAAGCAGAGAGAGCTGGAGTATCAAATAGGCGGTGTTCTCCTCCAGTTGGCATGTGAGTGAATTCGTTGTATCTGAAGATAAGGAATATGATGAAGAAATGGTTATTTTAAAAATGGCTAGTTGATATGAGATTTCCCCCCAGAAACTAAACATTTACATGACGAAAAATCAGTTGATAAAATGTTCAAATATCAGTGGGACATAGTACCGTAAGGGTCCCCCTTATGTGATTATTATTATTTTGAATATATGTAAAACTAATTTGAAAGCCCTGCTCCCCTTTCTATGTGATTTGGTTTTTTCTTTTATTTTCAGATAATGTCTGATGGTTCACAATGAGATATAAAACAAAATACTGACACTTAAACTTATCACTCAAATAACATTGTCTTGTAATCATACAACTTGCAGACAGTCTACACCTAACCATTCCAATAGGCTCCGCCCCTTTTCTGGTAAGAACTAGCTTTAACAGTTTTCAATCTTTGATTTGGGAAGACATTTGAAATTCTATTTTCCCGAAAAAAATCTACTCGACAAAGATACTCCTTCTAGAACATCCTTCTTCCCATAAGATAACATAAGCTCCGCCCCTTCCCATAGGATGCAGAGTGACGCGCGGAACCCGGGATATGTTGCTGTCTAGGGGGTCCCTATATAAACAGATGACCTTAATAAGATTCCCTTCTTCGAGAAGATTAGCATGGCCATTGCGCAAGGATGACACTCAAATTCGTGAAGCGTTCCAAATTTTTTGACCGATTTTGGTTGATGACCTAACAAGTGAAATTTCAGTGTACCTTCTTTCTCAATAATCTAGATACGAGCTAGGGCTCTTTTACAGGAATAACTTCTTTTCTTTGTTTAATTCAACGTTGGAAAAAAGTTAACCTTATTCCGGAGAAGCCGGGCGCCGGCTGTTTCTGTGCAACTATTGTCGCAGCAGATGCACCAACAGCCATCATGTAATCAGGAGGAGCAGGTCCGCCAGCTGCAGAGATAACTGATCCAATCGATGCGATTGGAGATAGTTTCTCACTGAATGGAGATCCGTGACGGTTCGAAACGTTTACTGTAAGTGGCATTTTGGCAAATGGGACTGGAGATCCCATGGCTGAGTGCTGATGAGGCGAAGATTGATCGGAGGCTGTCTGTAACTTTGGTAAGGGGTTAATATCATACTTGTAACGGGCCCGTCATTCACTAGTTTCGAAATTTTCAAAAAACACATAAGGGGGGACCCTTATGTGATTTTTTTCGATCAAAAATTTTTTTTCGAGTTTTTTCGATCTTTTTTGATCAGACAGACAAACAATCCAAAAAACGACAAAAAAATGGGAAAAATTATATTGAGAGCTCAAAATTTGGCTCAAAAATACAGAATTTTTGACGTTGGGCCTTCCGGGCCGGGCCCGGGTCTCGAAAATTTCCTCAGACCCGGAATTTTACAAGTATGGTTAATATATTTGATCTTGAATAAATTTAGTTGAAAGACCAAAAACCTACCGTATCATTTTCATTATTAGCTTCAGTTGACGAACGTCCATTCATCAACGTCTCACTGCTTCCTCCAGATCCATTCTTCGTTTGAAGCTCAGCGCATCGACGTTCCAACGATTTTATGGTATCACGAGCATCTCCAAGACACTTGAATAGACTTTGTTTCAGTTTGTTCTCTCCAGCCAGTGATTCTTCCATTTGAACTGATTTGTCTCTTACGATGCGAAGCTCCATGGAGATAGCCTCAATATCATGCTCCTCCTTGTAGTTTCGCAAACTGTTCAATTCTGATTCCATTCGCATTTTTGACTCTTCTTTCGATTTCAGTTCAGCTCTCAACTTGTCAATTTCAGATTCCAGTTGTCGTTCTCGTTCGCGTTGATGTTCAGCCACGTCGTATTTTTTGCTTGCAGTTTCCTGCCGGGCTTTTCTCTCAGCACTCAAAATCGATTCGATTTCTTCCTTTTTACCGAGTAAATCCGAGTATTTTCTCTCCGATTGTTCAAGTAGAGATTTATCAGACTCCCGATGTTTTTCTAATGTCGAATATTTGATTTCCATCTGCTCTGCCTTTAATTTCATATTTGATAACTGCTGAGATAATCTATTGTGATTGGATTCGTGCATGGATATTTGAAGCTTATAATCCTCTTCCAGACTCCTCCGTGACGAAATTTCAGCTCGTAATGTTTCCAGTTCTCTTGACATGCTACTTCGTATGTCATTCTCGTTACTGGCATTCGTATCATGTGAACTGTCTCGAACTGCTCCTGACCTCGCGTGCCCATTTGCATTCCCATTCGACTTTTGATTCTGATGATTATGATGATGACTTTTTCCGTTCGACTGTTTATGATTCTGTTGTTTCTGTTGATGGTTGTTGTTATTATTGTTATTATGATTCCGTGTCGTTGTAGATGGCATCGTGTTCGCTCGACCTTTCGTTGTAGACGTTGTCGTTGTTGGTGTCGTTGAATTTGTTAAGGAATCAGTTCGTCCGTTCTTCTTTTCTACTTCCACTTCCTCTTCCTCGTACTCGTCGTCTGGTTGGCTGACTGGGCCGTCAGGTACTCCAGAGTTCTGAAAAATAGTCTTTAATGTTATTCCGGTCAAGAAAATTGGAGCTGTGGACAAGAAACGTCGGTGGCCGTCAGGCCCCGGCACTGAAAATTTCGCGACCGAAATATCAGCAGGTAAATTCCAAAAATATCAGAAGGTCCAAATCACATAAGAGTCCCTCCTTATCTTGAAAAATTTTCCTCAAAAAGTTTTTTTGCTCGCTCGCTCGCACTACTTTTTACCGCAAAATATCAGTAGGTCCCCGTGAATATCAGTAGGATTTTACCACTCGTGTCAGGGCGTGGGTGGCCGTGGACGATAACAAAAAACGTAACGAAAAGCAGCTAAAATCTAGAAAATAAATCCGGAGAAACAAACATATTTCTAGGTAATCGTAATTGTGGGACCCTCAGCCATGGCCACCGGCGTTTAATAATAATCTTACCACGAACAAAGCAGAAATCATCCACCAAACAGTTGTGAAAATAATCCGAATAATTGAAAGCCCTCCTCCTCGTCGTTGTCCTTGACTACCAGACTGATCTCTCCATGAAAAATCGTCTGCATCTGAATCATCAACGTCGTCCACATCGGTTCCACGTATCGATTTGTTCTTCTTCTTGTCGTTCGGCGGTGTCGAATTGAACGCATTTCCGTTCTTCTTCTTCTTTGATGACGACTGCACTTCGCCATTTTTCTTGTGTATCCCATTCTTTTTTGATGTTGTCGGCGGCGTTGCACTCGGTGCTGCTTGTATCGCTTGCATCGGTTGTGACGACGTTTGAACCGGCGGATCCAGATAGTATAGATCGCCGTCTTCTAGACACTGCTGTGACGTATAATCTTTTGGACCCTCGTATTCTGCAGGAAGACTTTCCACCAGTATCCGAAACAACTGCTCGTTTCGATTTGATACATCTCCTTGTGTTCGACGCAGCTGCCATTCGCTGAAAGTCAGAATATAATTGATCAGATTGAATATGTAATTATAGTCTACTTGATATAATAATGTAGTGATACTGTTGTCATGATCGCTGGATATCCTATCGAATGTGCACCGAAAAAAGCGTTGAGACTTCGTGGCCACACTGGAGGTACCCCTGCCCATTCTGTCACTGAAAATCGGTAGTTTTGAATATGTCATTGACTTCGAAAAAAGAAACTTACGATTCGGCAAGAAGTGGAGCAGCAGCGGTTGACTCCTGAACAATAAAATATATTCATACATTGTAATTCTGAAAGACAGAATACAACAACTAGAAAACAGGGTTAAAATGAACTTACCGAATTCTTATAAATAGTTCAAATAGAACAATGCAACATGTTATCACCACGATAGGCACTGCTTGTGATCGTTCTCCACCTGGAATTCATCGAAATTTAATTTAAAATGTTGCTGACCAACAAATGATGTGATGTTGATTATCGTGATTTATAATTATATCCGTATTTTCAGGAAAACACTACTAATCACTTTTCTAATCACTGCAATTTGTTAAACTTTCTATGGAAGGAAGGTTGTTTTTTGGCAGATTCCTAGAATGATCTTCCTGCAAAATTTGATGCTATTTTGTATTTACTGGTAAGAAAATTCGAGATGTGGAAGAGAAACGCCGGTGAGCGTGGCCGAAGGTCCCAAAACGACATACTACAGTAACCTAAACTGTTTCAGGATTCATTATCTCGTTTTTTACGGAGTTCATAGATTTTTGAGTGATTAATTTGTTTTCAAAAAAGTCGGAAAATTACAACTTTTGATAGCGAAAAAATTGACTGAAAACGCACGAAAAGCGATATAATAAATTCGGAAAATAAACTAATTTTTGAATTACGGTAGTTGTGTTACACCTCCGCGTAGTTAGTAGAAAAACTGAAAACTGACCATATACAGTAGCCATTGTTCTGAGAAAGCCGCCTTGTGAATGGTAAAAAAAGTTGACCCAAACAAAAACTGTGGCGCAAAATATCAACACTCGAACCGGTATGAACAGGTAACATATCAGATCGGAAGTGGCAGTTACGCACACAAATAATATTGAAAATCTCTGTAAAATTCGGATTAAGTGTTTAAGATGACACACAGATTACAAACCACCGCTGATGGATTGGCGATTGTGGTGACACAGTGCTGATTTCTAGTCTGAAGCGATTCCACAGCTGCTCTGATCATAAGCCACGCCGGCCACAACAGTTCGAAACGGAAGCCAGTTAATGCATCGAGAGCAACCATCGTCATCCACAGGAATGTGAATCGGGCATACGAAAAGAACGATGGGGTGCTGAAATAAAGTTCGGTTTCTTCGTTTTTGTGGTTCCAAGAAAACACATACAACTGATTTATCTCTGGTCTTCCTCGTCTGGTTATTGGTAATCGTTTTACATTTTTATCACCCCTATTCCTTTTTTGCGCCTGTTTTGTTTTCTGTGACGCTTGCATATCTGAAAAAATTGTATATTTCTTTTATTGTCGTGGTGAAGAAGCACAAAATTGTATTGTACAAAAAAGAACGAGAGAAGAAAATAAAACAAAGGAGGAGGAATATTTAACATGGATAGGGAAAATGTGCTTCAAAATAGAATGGATATGATAACTAGAACAAAAGATAACGGTAATTTTTGAAAAGCAATATTCGAGAGAAATATTCTTGAAGTAAAGAATACATGAATACCTTGCTGGGCATTCGGACGAAAAGTTCGACCTGGAAAGAAATACAAACACTTACATGTATAACCTAACTGGTCAACGTGAATATATGTGGACACCCTTGAAGCTGAGGCAAAAGAGGACCCCCCCCCCCCCCCTAAACGAAATAGAACTTGCGATCGAGAGACGGATGAGGAAATCGAAGGCGTGGCGCTCGCCTCGTTCTTCTCCCTTCAAAGGCTCTGGTTATTCGTCGTGTCTGTGCGTGCTCCGCCAGCAGCATCATCTCGCGGTGGACGAGAACTGGAGAATTGACAGAGACAGGGGGGGGGGGGTGAGAAGTTGAGAATAGGAGAAGAAGTAGAAGACGTCGCGCGTCGGACTCGTGCTTTTCCTGCGCGGAAAAAGAAGAAGACGACGCCGAACGAGAAGGAGTAGAAGAAGAAGAAGCACGAAAAGGGAGAGAAAAGGAGAACGGGAGAAGGGAGAGAGATCCTCACTCTTCTCGCTTCTCTCCTCATTCGCCATCCTCTCTTTCTCATCTCACACCAACCACCAACAACAGCCCAGAGGCCCCCGTCGTTTTGTGTTGTGCCTCTCTCTCTCTCTCTGCTTCTGCAACAGAGAGTTAAAAGAAGTGAAGCAGAAGTAGGAGAGGACTAACCGAAAGGCTCACGGGCTCACGCACACGAAGAACCCAGAGAAAAAAGAGAATGAGCGTTTGGTCACTTTCATCATCTTCGTCGGGTCCCGTTAGATTACTACTACTTGATGTAACCCAGAGACTTGCTCTTTATGTGATTCCAAAGAAACACCTGCCCGAAATCCCCAAACTGGTCTCCTTCGTTTTACTGTAATCTTTTCCCGCTTCTCATAACATCTGCTCGTATATTTTTCAACTCTCTCCTTGTGAAATTTATTCAGCTGCTTAGGTTTACGACGTCGTCGTTTTCGCGAACTTTCGAAACCAATTAGCGACGATGTTGCCAAGATCCGAAGCTCATTTAGTTCAGTCAGACGTTTTATTAAATGTAAAATGATATTCGCTGCGGAATTTCCTCAAATGTTCCTGGAACTATAATTTCAGGTCCATAGACACATAGAGTTCAACTTCAAGACTTATGCAATTAACCTTGTTAGATTAAAGATTCCAGGTGTTAAGAAACACCTGATCTTTTGCAGCGTCATCAGGTTGTACTTTCAAGTAATCACACAAAAAGATCAATCATAAATGCATGGTAAAAGTTCCATAACCTTGACATCATCTCTACCGGAATAGAAGAGCTTGAACGAAAAAGATCGGATTAGTGCACCAACTAGTTGCTTATTTTTATTTCCCTTTTTCTTTGCAACCAAAAAGGAATCAACACCGAATGAAGAATCTCATTATTCCTGTGCTCGTCGGATGAAAATCGGCTGAGAAATTAGAAGACGTCGAGAAGAAGAAGACGATGTACATTATGATTTCATGAATTCTTGATGAGAGGAGCCCAACACTAAGGGCAAGGGCGTAATAAGAAGAGAAAACAAAAGATGGACGATGAAAAAAGTAGAAATTAAAGTTTCGGGATATAACAAGTAGTGAATTTCAAAAGTTTTAATTTTCACATCAAAGTACTGAAATTTCAAAAACTTTTGTGAGCCACGTGAATCTTTTGAATCTCCCAAAAGATGGACCGTTAAGTTTTTGGAGCAACGTGTTTTTTCAACAAATATAACAGAAATATTAACACTTTCTGAATATTTTTCCCAAAATTAAAACTTTTGAAAATCACTACTTGTTATATGGTTTTTGGTCGATTGGTGGTGTTGGGAGATATAAAAAGGAGGGAAAAACAGATGGATGGAGAAATCGTTTAAAAGGCCCAAGAAGACAAAGTATTTAAATGATGAGTGATAGTGATCGGCTTATCAGATTAGATCAAGGGATTCGGCTGAAGAGTGGGAAAAGCAGCAAAAAGGAAAATGTGTTGAACTGATCAATAGGGCAGTGTAGAGAAGCATTGAGAAAACGAGCCAGCAAAAAGATGAAGACGAGGTGTAGAAATGCGTCAAAAAGGCGCATAATGAGTCAAAACGGCGCCTTTCTCCCTACGGATTCGAGGATGCAGCAGTTAGTTACGCCCACAAAATCCCTCATTTTTTCAATGTGCACTCTTATTGTCGAATTAAAAAAAAGTGACACCTGAGAATTCGAAAACGTTTCCTTTTTTGATCTACGAAAAAGTGCGGCAAAAACGTAATATTTCAGAATTTCGGCTCGTTCGAGCTACTTTCGTGTTTAATTTTAGTTTTTTGCTTAAAAATAGATTCTAGAGATGCTAGCGATCATTTTTATATCAAGAAATCAAAATTTTGTTCAGAAAATCCCACTAAATTCACATAAATGAATTGGTTATCTACAGTATCCGTTTTCGCTCCGCCCCCTCGTAAATCGACACGAGCGCCGTCTCCGAGATTTTCAGGTGTCACTTTTTTTAATCCGACAATAATTGGGATCATAAAAAACGCTATTGATAATGTTCTATTTGATGAGGAGGGAAAGGGAATAACGAGTTTGAACTTAACGGGGGTTACTGTAGACTTTTTGGTACAAAATTATCTGTGCTGTGGCAGAGAAATTCCGGTGGCCGTGGTCGAATGTCCCATAACGAAAACTACAGTAACCCAAAATTATTTTTTCCGGACTCATTTTCTCCGTTTTCACTTCTTTTCCTCGATTTTTCTGATATTTTCCGTATATAAGTCGAAAAATAAAAATATTTGATGGTAAAAAATCGACTAAAAAGCAAGAAACGAGAAAGTAAGCATATTTTCAGGTTACGGTAGTTTTCGTTGTGGGACCATAGCTCCGATATTTTGTACCAGAATAATAAAAGTAAACGGAAGAATTTGAAAAAAAAACGCTTAAAGAGAAAGAGAGTCCTTCAGAATAATAAGAAGACCACATACTTCTTCTGCTCTGTCGATATTTTTTTTTCGAACGACTCTATTTTAAAATTCTAATGAGTTCGTGTGCTGCCATTTACCACGAGGTTTCATTACCACCACCTCGTTCTTTTTTACTTGAATAAGAGTCACTGGCACAGAAAATTCCACAGAAACTTCGAGGAAAATGAGAATTCGTTGCAAAGTGCGAAAATGAAAATCAGACAGGAAAAAACGAGGGAGGGAAGAAGAAGAGTGAAATGACCAAAGAGGAGAAAGAATGAATTTAATGAAAGAACATAGGCGTCGTAGTCTTCTTTTTCAGCTTCTGGTGGAGCGTAGAAGCATCTAATTAGATGCTCTCTCACTCCGCCTTCTCGGTTTTGTTATTTTGTGAAACGAGAGAGAGAGAGAGAGCACGAATGATACGTTTCCAAGGAGAAAAAAAAAATAACTGGTGAAATGAGAAAACAAAGGAGAGCATCAGATATGAAGACAGGATACCCCTACAGGTTTAGAAAAAAAGGATAGTAGTCTGTCTGATTTCGAAACGAATTATGAAATAGCTGCATAGTTTTTGAACTATTCGCCAGATTATTATTCTAGTACAAAAATCCGACCGAAGGTCCCATAACAACGTCTACCGTAACCTGAATTTTTTCCGGATCTATTACCTCGCTTTTTGCTGATTTTCGTCAATTTTTCGCTGAAGAAATCGAAAAAAAGGTTCTTGATAGTGAACAATTGACTGCAAGTACATGAAAATCGAGATGAAAAATCCGGAAAATGAAAATATTTTAGGTTACGGTAGCTACCGGCGTTCCCTCCCACGTCTCCGATTTTTTTTATACCAGAAAAAAATTCCATAACGACATCTACCGTAACCTGAATTTTTCCGGCTTTAACTTTCTTGTTTTTCACTGTTTTTTCGAGGTTTCTGTCATTTTACCCAAAAAAGTCGGAAAATAAAAATCCTCGATAGCGAAAAATTTACTGAAAACGCACTGAAAACGAGAGAATAAATTTGGAAACTGAGCATATTTTGGTTACTGTATTTGTCGTAGTCTGACCTTCGGCGACGATCCGATCTTTCGTACCAGCATAATTAAAAGAACAAGAATAGGACCTCAATGGCAAAATCAGAAGATACACTTTTCGACTATTGCATAGAATGTTTATTCTGCAAAGGTCTTCAGTTTCCGAAGAGTTGATCTAATGGTCAAAAAACGACGACAAGCTGGCTCCACCATTCACGAGCGAGGCGGAAATTAGTATAAACAAAGGTTTCAAATATGAGAAGCGTCGCGTTTCCGCTGCTGCTAGGGCTCTGCACCTGGCACCTCTTCCACATTACTTTTTGAGAATGACTTGAGTCGCGAGCCCCCGACACGTACTGGCAGATGTAAATGGGGAGAAAACTGGAGAGCTCGGGATTGTGGTCGGGTGATAAATCTAAACGAGGTGGATATTGAGCGACAAAACCTAATAATCAGGTTTTTTTTCTTTTTGGCCAGTGGCGACAAAAACAAAAAAGACGACGACGACGAAGCTAGTTATAGGGTAACCATAGGCGACGACGATATTCTCAGAATCCTCTGGTAATTTTCTTTGCTTTTCAGAAGATGAAGAAAAGCAAGGTAAAGCTGCTGATTAAGTTTGACTCTTAATCAGACTCTGATTATCAGAGCTTGCTGTTGGCTTGTTTGGGAAAAGACGTTCAGAAAAGAATTCTGACTAATGCTAGTTGTCTCAACGTGATTAATTTGAAGAGCACTCTCTACAAAAATCATTTTTATCAAAAACAGGAAAAAATTAGCCCGAAGCAAACTTAGATTGGAATCAGTCAATCTCTCATGAGAAAATAAAATTGGAAACAGTGTCAGAAAAGTACAGCATCGACTGTAATTTTTATGCATTTTTACAGTTTTCTTATGAGATTCATGTCTAAAACTTCTTCTTTTTCAGACAAAAAAGTTCGAAATTCAAAACTGGCTTTATATTTAATTGTTTCATTCAAAAATTGTTCGAAGTTTGACGATTTTTAGATGTATTCGAAGTCAATTAATACTCAGGACAAAAACCACAATTTACAATTTAGATAGAATCGGGTAAATCGGGTAAATCAACATTCAAAAAATTCCGAAAGCGTTAAAAGTGTACTCATATGAGTACATAACACATGGGAAGAGAGTGACGTCTCCAAAAGATGCCTTTTTTTCTAACTGTCGCTTTAAAAAAAATAAGCTATTTAGCTTTTGTTCTGGATTTCCGAATGATGGGTTTACGGTTGATTTTTAAGTTTTCGTCTTTTTTTTTCAAAGAACAATCTAAGAGTTTCAGACAGACCTCCTTTCTTTTAATTTCTTTTTTTTTGAATTTTTAGAAGTTTCAAAGTCAAATACTTACTTTCTCTTTGAACAGAACGAATAACTTTCGCTTCAGTTTTCAAAGAAAATCAATAAACTTGCTGCCTCGGTTTCTTCGGTTTTCGTTGGTAAAAGAAGCTTCTGGTTGTCCGTTTCTTTCGGCGGTATTGCCAAACCGATTAAACCATCCCTAGCTTTTATCAAAATTTTTTGTAGAATTCAATCAAAATTCTGAAGGGTGATTAAAAAAGAGTGGGAAAAAAGAGAGGGAGGAGGGAAACGAACGGAGGGTGGAAGAGGAAAGAAAAAACATTTTCGGGTTTTTTACCGGCTAAAAAATTGCATTAGACTTTTTTCTGGGCTCCAACTGGGTTTTGGCCGAAAAATTCATGTTTGGTGGGACGGCGGACACGTCGAAAAGGCGCCCCGCTCTGCGTCTATGTCAAGAAAGACTGTATAAATTATAGAATCGCAGAAGAGAAGAGGGAAAGCACTCGACGGCGGGCCGTTCGTTCGGCTATCTGCGTCTCCGGCTTTACTGTTTTTTCTTTAGTTTTGTTCCTACTAAGGAACGTTTTTTGTCTTCATTTCAAAAAAAAACTTGATTCTTTCTCTCCTTCCGTTTTTTAGTTGGCTTGTTCTTGTGGAAAACATCAGGATAATTATTACTGTTTAATTGATATTTTCAGAAAAAAATTTTAAAAGAAGCATGTTTAAGGTTAGAAAAAAGCATAAATTATGAAAATACGGAAGCGAAAAAACAACTTTTTCGGCGCTCGTAAAACTACATGCGGGTTCTACTGTAGCTCTTCTGTCCGAACCGATTAACTAAAAATTGAATGCGCCTTTGGTACAGTAATACATCGTGACTTTTTTCTGAAAAACATTCGAATCAATTCTCGCGAAAGCCTATTTTTCAGCAAAGCCAAAAATAAATACTGGAGCAAAAATACAAAAAAATCTGTTCACTGTAGAAAAAGCTTTGTTTTGAGAAAAGCAAAATATATGTTTTATTGTCGGATTAAAAAAAGTGACACCTGAGAATTCGAAAACGTTTGCTTTTTTTTATCTACGAAAAAGTGCGGCAAAAACGTAATATTTCAGAATTTCGGCTCGTTCGAGCTACTTTCGTGTTTAATTTTAGTTTTTTGCTTAAAAATAGATTCTAGAGATGCTAGCGATCATTTTTATATCAAGAAATCAAAATTTTGTTCAGAAAATCCCACTAAATTCACATGAATAAATTTGTTATCTACAGTATCCGTTTTCGCTCCGCCCCCTCGTAAATCGACACGAGCGCCGTCTCCGAGATTTTCAGGTGTCACTTTTTTAAATCCGACAATATATATGGTCTTTGTGTTTCTTCAGTTTCTAACTTTTGATGCCCGAAAAATATCTTTCTGTGCACTTTTTCCCATTTCGCTTCACCGTGATTCGTACAGTTTCGAGCAAAGTTTGGAAACTGTACTTCGAATAAAAATTGACAAAACATCAAGACTGTCGCAAAATGATAAGGCGTTCGAAATATGAATCTTGAGAACAAGAAATCTTTGAGAAAAACGCCCAGCCACACACTTTTCCACCGTTTCGATTAAGAATATTCCACATGGAACATAAACGAAGAAAATGCGCGGCAGGTGTCATCATAGTAAATAATCGAAGATTTCTTTCCTTCGTTTCAATCGTCCGCTGCAGTTTCTTCAATGCCAAATTTCGAAAATTGCCGTCGTCCTAGAGTCGTCTACATGCGCTGGTAGGGTTTCAAAAATATGACATTTTTCAATAAAACTAACAGTTAGAACGGAAAAAAAAAAGAAAAAAAAGACGTTGTTCGAAAAAAGCACCGGCAAAATATAGAAGACGGAGAAGAATAGAACGGAAAGAAGGGGGCAGAAAACAATACATTAAAATGAAACCACGTGAAGAAAGGGGGTGCATAGACAGATGAAAATAAAAGAACACAAAGGACGGTAACATGAAAATTCTAGAAATAAAAAAAGAGATTCTGGAATTTCAGAAGACAAGGCAAGTAGATGGAGAAAATTGGCAGTAAGAAATGGGAATTAATATCATTTTGACTAATTTAAGCGACTTTATTTTTATTCTCAGCACGAATTCTATAGGCTTTGATGATCAAAGTCACAGCGACGATGACAATCAGACCACCAACACCGAGAACCGAAAGTGTTTGATTGTCATCCATAACATCCATAATTTTCTCCTTTGCGAATTCATAAACTTGTTCAATGGCAGTTGGCGGTTCAGGAACTCTAGAAACTTTGGAAAATTATCTGTAATCTTTTATATTTCTCACCGGTGTCCTCTCTGCTCCTTGTATTTGTGCAAAGCGAAGTTGGTCAAGCTTCTAACATCCTTAGCCGACTCCTTGTAACGGTACATCTTTCCACGGTGGAACCTAAAAATACGATTTTTTTAAAAACCTTATGCAGCCATAGTTACAGTAAGAAAACTGGGCAATCTCTCTCTTCAATATGGAATCTTTCGGTTACATCATCATTCACGGAAATCTCAATCTTTCCAACATTGACAAGACCACGAAGTCTTAAAAACGGATCTTATAGTTTGTAGTTTGGTTAATTGACCCACTTATGAGCAACAGTCTCCCAAAGTGGTACAAATGCATTGCTGTTTCCCTCGTCAGCATCATAGAACATCACAAACCAATCGATGGATCCCTCATCTGGCGAATGAGAATCAGTTCTGGATTCGAAAGTGTCGTCAGTCAAATCCCACGTGGCAACTTCCTCGTGAGCACGGAGCCAACGAAGAAGAGTTTCAGAGTCCTTGAAATCTCCTGAAAATTGTTGAATACTTTATGGGTCATTAAACAAAATTAGTCAAAAAATTTGGAACGCTTCACGAATTTGCGTGTCATCCTTGCGCAGGGGCCATGCTAATCTTCTCTGTATTGTTCCAATTTTAGTATATGTTCTCGGAAGAACGAAGTCTTATATAGGGCATCTGTTTATATAGGGACCCCCTAGACAGCAGCCGACATTTCCCGTGTTCCGCGCGTCACTACGTATTCTGTGGGGAGGGGGCGGAGCCTATGTTGCCTTATGGGAAAGATGATGTTCTATTTAGAAGGGGTATCTGGGTCAAGTAGGATTTCAAATATCTTTCAGAATCAAAGATTGAGAAATGAACTTTTACCATCATACAAAATTGGATTCTTTCTTCTATAGTAAACCAAAGATGGGAATACATTGATTCCCAATTCTCTGGCAACAGATCTATCGTTCGTTTTCACCACTTGAACATATCCAGTTGCTTCGATATCATCGTCGATCTCTTCGACTTCAGACAAAGCTTCGGTGCAAGTTGGGCATGGGACCTTTCCGTCGTCTGAAATAAATATCATAAACGGATTTTAATCTGAGGACCTTACACAAGAAAATAACTAAATTTTTGGAAGCGTCTCTGAGAATTTCATCAATTCGATCCTCATCTACATCGTCAATCGAGTTGTCGTCATCCTTATGTTTGGATGGAGCTGATTTTGCCAGTGGTGCTGGAGCTTCTTTTGATGCTGACTTTTTTGTTTTCTTTGCTGGAGCTGGGGGAGCAACGTCATCAGCCACGGTCACCTGAATTGACTATTGTTTTCTGCTTTAGAAGGCGTCCATAAAAATTCTAATAGAAGCCAACCCAAACCGTCAACTTTGAGGTAATTTAACTTGCTTTCTGTGAATGATATCAAAAAGTGGTCAATCGAAAAAATGTTTATCATAACATCAACAATATTTTGTTAGTTGACCACTATTTGATATTTTTTACAGGAACAGAGATATATGGGCTTAAAGTTAATGGTTTGGGTAGCCTTCTTGGAAACGGATGATCAATATTATCACCACAAAAATTACGATTTCAAAACAACACTCATGGCAAAATTCAGGACTTAAAAAATTTAAAATCGTCTTCTCTGATTAGGTCATCAAACAAAATCGGTCAAAAAATTTGGAACGCTTCACGAATTTGCGTGTCATCCTTGCGCAGGGGCCATGCTAATCTTCTCTGTATTGTTCCAATTTTAGTATATGTTCTCGGAAGAACGAAATCTTATATAGGTCATCTGTTTATATAGGGACCCCCTCGACAGCAGCCGACATCTCCCGGGTTCCGCGCGTCACTATGTATTCTGTGGGGAAGGGGGCGGAGTCTATGGGTGAAGACAGTCTTCAATCTATTCTATGATAGTCTGTGTTGAGCGTCAGAATTGAAAAGTATCTGGCTATGAAGATCTGACAACCGTTTTTTTAAACATACTCTAAAAATATCAAAATAAAAATAAAAAATAGATTTACCTTCAAGTTCTTATCCTTCTTCTTTGCCTCAACATCAGCACTCAATAGAATCAGAAATATAACTGACACTGTTGCCAGTGTCAGAAAGGATGACGTCTTCATTTAGGAACGTCGTCGACAAGTAAACAAAAAAAACAAACAGCAATCGATATCAATACGAAGAGAGGCAAAAATCAGTGATGAGAAGAGACGGGACGGGCGATTCCAGGACATCATTACACTCTGAAGGGAGCCCGATGTGTCTCGTACACTCCTGTTATTCAACGATCTCTGAGCATCTTGGGGTGGATCAAGGCAAATAGTAAGAGAATGAGAGAGTGATGAGAAAGTGAGTGATGCAGAGATAAAAGTGGGAGGATGGATGGGAAGTAGAAGAAGATGAAGAAGAGTTGGGATCTAAAAATTTCATGATATGAGTTGTTTATTATTTACTAACAAGTTAGGATGGCGCATAATTACCCGGACTGAAGTTTGCACTAGCATAAAATTTGAGTAAATCGTTGTACTAGACTCATATTTGGAGTGCAAAAATGCAAAAAATTCATCAATTAACTGTCCAAGTTTCAAATCATTTGACCAACTTTGAGCTGAGTTATCGCTTGTTCAAGTTGCTTTATCTCATGAAAATCATAGTGGTGTGCAAGGCACAGTCATCCTTGGAAAATCATATCAATCCCTAGACTTGAGGAACCGCTTTGAAAATTTCAGTAGCTTTGAATCAAACGTAAAATTATATCCCCACCAGTTTTTCTGCTTCCAAAATACTTATGTTTAATGATATATCCATTTTATCTGTCCGGGTAATTTTGCGCGAAATGTAGATTTTGTAGAAATTTCTTCGTGAACTTTCTGGATAGTTTTGGGGTCAATAGGCACATGAAATGGCAATTGATGCATCCACGCACCTAAAAGAGAAGATTCAGAAAAGGAGATATTTTTGGATTTTAACTAAATATGATCTCTAGAAGGCGTCGAGCATTAGCTGGAAGTGATGATGGATCGAAAGGAATCGCTAGCATGTTGGATGACATTGAGCCAGAACCATTTGAGGAAATGGTAGGGGTTGGAAAAAGAGGGAACCCAGATTGGTGGCATTTTAATATGTAGAACATAAATTTTATAATGTCCATCATTTTTGGATTACGGCAGTCTAAATTTCCATACCTCAAAACTTGGGAAATTCTTAAGATTCTGAATAATTTCGAAAATCTCATATTCCAAAATTACCGAAATTCTGAGTTTCAGAATTTGCTATTTTCGAAACTTGAAACATAAAATTTCCAACTTTCAAAACATTAATTGGTTATTAGGATTACTGTAGTCTAGTTTCAATGAGACTTCAAGAAGAAGACTAAAATAGAAATCCACCACTCGAATTAAATATTTATAGTACTCAATATTCCGAATCGTGACACTCTATGAGTTGATGATACATGGACAATGGAAGTATGTCGTTCATTATTTGGATAATAAGAAAACAGAATTGGTTCTTGGAACGTACATTGGTGCAGCTTTTGAACTAATTCGATTTGTTTGGTAGATCAAAAATATCTTTCGCATATCTGAAATCCCATTTTCAGCGTTCTTATCATTGCAATTGTATTCATTTTAATGCGTATTTCTGCCTTACTTCCACTTCAAAACGAGAACATAATCGGAAACATTACATGGGTCATTTCAACGAATGCACTTGCCTTCTGGACTGCTTTGATTCTTTGTGCAATCATTGTTGCACAATTTGCAGTTTATCAATGTAAAAATTCAAGTTATGTGGTCATTTGTACAACTATCAACTTTGTATTCTCGATTATCCTCATCGCTGCTTTTATCCATTTGGGTAAGAAAACTCCAATAGTTTCAATTCTGGACCTGAATACATTTCCAGCAATTCTGAGATATAACAACGAGAATTTTATGAAAGAAGGATTTCACAAAAACTTGTTGTCATCTGGATCCATGAGAGGTCTACAGAATTACCAAGCTCGAGTTAAGTGTTGTGGTGTGGAAGGACCAGATGATTACTTTGGAAGCATTATCATGAAGTACACGAATGCGGTAGATCAGATTATCTCTAATTTGTACATAATTAACTTTAGTTAACAAACAAAACTGAAGAGATTCCGGTGACTCGGGAGTTTGCTCTGGACGATAATCGATTTTACAGTCTTCCCATTTCATGTTGTAAACGTAGTGACAAACAGTGGGTTATTTGTTATAACGCCGGTACTGAAAAATCAGAGTTGTGGAAGAGATGCGCCCTCGGCTGTCGGCTTGCCACTTCTGGACGGAAGTTGAGGGGGTTCGGCTTTTGGACGGATCTTGGTCAGATTTTGGTCAGAAGCTGCCCACTGGCAGCAGTGGGATAGACAATGGTCGGATTTTGGCCGGAATTTGAAGACGCTGCGTGTTATGCGGCGCGTGCTACACTCATTTTAAATGTGTTTTCTAAACTATTTTTCTTGCCGTTTATCCTAAATCCTTTGCTTTAAAATTGCCTCCTTCCAATTTTTGAAGTATTTTTTTCAGACAAGTACTTCGGAGACAAAAACAGACGATGTTCACAGGTAACTTTCTGTTGAAAAAACTGAATTTTTGAAAGTGTTGCTTTCAGGAGTCAAAAAAACAACTGGATGCTAGAAAATTCGAATAAAAACAAAAAAGTTAATCAGGTAAATTCCTATGTTCTGAATTAATTTTTAATTGTATTCGTATTTCAGGCAGAGCCTCTTCTCTCGAGTTCGTCACGATTCACATCGACATCTTCAAAACTTTAAATTTTGATTCTCGATTTTTTTAAATTTTTTTTTCTAATTTTATTCATCTTCATGTATAATTAGTTTTTGTAATAAATAAATACTACATAAATATATAATGTGCTGCTTCGCCATGAAAATAACAATAAGTGTGAACCGAACCGGCCCCTGTTGTTAAGAGGTCGGAAGTTGGCCGGTAGTTGGTCGGATCTTGGTCGGCTTCCCGCAATGTCTTTGCCGGAATTTGACCAAGCTCCGGCCAGAAAATGCCGGCGACGCCTGAGCCGGTAGCCGTGGCCGAAGGCTTCACAATGAAAACTACCGTAACTTTAAAATATTTTTATTTTCCTGAATGTCTCGTATGCGCTTCGGGTCTCGACACGAAAAAAGCGCGGGAACATTCTCTTTAAGGTTACGGTAGTTGTTTTGGGACCTTCGGCCACGGCCACCGGCGTTTCTCTTCTACACCTCTGATTTGGTTTGTGCGAAAGTATAACAATAGAATTATTGAGGTGTTACTGTTTCAGAATATGTTCCCAGAGAAATCTGACTGTCGAAGAAGCAAAAGAAGCACGAGAATATGCACAAACCGGAAACTGGCAAATGATGCATACGTTCATTTCCAGACCAGAGTGAATTTAATTTTCGGATTCCCTCTTCACCTAAATGTATTTCTTTAGACCAGGATCATACTGGAGCAAAGGATGCCTGAACGAATACGTAGAATCTGTTGAATCCTACATAAATGTTCTCATCTCGACCCTTATTATCTTCACAATGTTCACTGCACTAACCATTGGATTTGTGATTGTTCTGTTGCTGTATCATGACGGAGTTGGTCAAATCGTTTCGGATCAGAAGATGTTCGGTGTGGAACGGAACACTGGAGTTCACTTCTTGATGAGTTTGGATATGATGTCAGAGCTTTGTAACAGAATCTTATTTTGCTAAAAGTTTGGTTTTTAGAGACAGCGACTTCCAAGACGATTTCAGTCTGATTGAGTTTTTACGAAAATCGGATATCGATAATTTTATGGCTGGAGATCGACTCAAAGCAACTATTAGTGGAAGAAAAGAAGCTGAAAGAGCATGAGCAATGATGGATGTTTTCTTGACTTTTTACTTCTCGAGTCTCTTTTTTTTTATAAAGCTTTCTAACCAGTTTCTACAGTTTTTTTCTTTATGGCAGATATCCAACATAACAAATTGTTTGAAATCAATTTCACTAAAATTTCACTTTTCGTTTAAAAGTAAAACTATTGAAATTTCTTGTAAATTGTCTATTCCGCTTCTTTACGTCATCTTCATCCCTCCTGTTTCCGTGTAGACGTAATCTCGCTTTCAATTGTGCCAAGTTGTTTCGAAAAGAGTGAAACCATCCGATACTTTTCGGCTTATGTACATCTCCTCTTACTTTCGGACATTATCTTTCTGCCACCAAACTGCTTTTTTGTTGTCTCTCTTTTTGTTGTATTTGGAGTATTATGTCATCATCGAATTCCGCGCGGTACCCTAGTGCGACGACGACGGTTTTTGGTGGTTCCGGATGACGGGGCGCGGACAAAAAATGGAAGAAAGAAGATGTAGACGCACGATACAGATCATTTCAGATTGCCAAAGTCTCGCAAAAGTCAACAAAACGAAGTATCTTTGTTTGTTTAGGTAGATTACGTAAATCTCATGGGAGGTTTGGAAGGAAGAAGCTAAAGAATAGTGTTGAAAAATTGAACATTTTTGAGCCAACGGAAGAAGTTAGACCAGAAAAAAAAGTTAATCGAGAAAAAATTCAATGAACATTCATTTAGAATTATCATAAAACCTGTAATAGAAGATCCCCCCCCCCCCCCAACTTTCAATTTTGAGCCTATTTTTTTGGTTCCTGTCAAAGAACTAAAAAACGGTGTCAACTGATCTAGGGAATGAGATAATTGAGCTCAAACTTGACAGTATGTGGTCCCTTCTATTATACGTTTTCCTGTAAATTTGAAAAAATGATTAATCGAAAAAAAAATTTAATGCAAACTATCCCCATTGGATCGAACCATCGAAAAACTAAATAACTGAAAAATCGAATAATTTTTCTAAAAAAAAATTTCAAACCAAATTAAATTTACAGTTCGGCTGAGATTTTAGAGATGGCATTAAAGTTAGTACATGACATATCAAATACCGTCTTTTCTCTAATAGAGTTCCAAATAAATTTTCAACTCTGAGCTCAATTATCTCTATTCCTGTGAGAGATATCAAAAAGTTGTCAACTAATGAAATGTTGGTGATACTATGATAAACAATACTGTAGTTGACTGCTTTTTGATATCTCTCATAGGAAAGATAATTGAGCTCAAATGGCACGTATAGGATGGGCTTCTATTACAAGGGATCCTCAACTCCTTGTAAACCCAGAATTTGATGAAAATTTTAAGATATTTTAAGAATAGCCTATCTAGAGACTTTTGGAAATTTTAGAGACATTTTCTCCAAATTTTTGATTCAAATTTCCGAGTTTCCCCACCACTAGGATTTACCGTAATGCCTGTATTAGAAGGTCTCCACGCTGTGACGTTTGAGCTCAATTATCTCAATTGATATGCAAGATATCAAAAACATGTCAACTGACTGACAAAAAATTTGTGATATTATGATAAGCAATTTATCAGTTGACAACTTTTAAATATCTTTGACAGGAAACGAGGAAAATTGGCTCAAAGTGTAAAGTTGGGGGGTCTTCTATTTCAGGTTTTACGGTATTACTTGATGAAAAGTAAAACTAAAGACTTCTCTCCAAACTTTTTCACAGACACAGCTAATAAAATGATTATATGGAAATCCGTTATCATAACATAATGACCTTTTTCCGAATTCTTAATCCCGTTCTCATCAAGTTGTACATCTTCTAAATTCGCACGTCGTCATCTCCCTCTTCTGTCGACGGCATATCGTTTCACACAAAAAATGGAAGGGAATCTGTTTCTTCTCTCCCCCTCTTATTCTTCTTCTTCTGAATCTGTTCTTCTTCTTCTTCTTCTCCTTGCCAATTGTTTAGCCATCATTTTCCGTCCGTCTCGCAAGAGGAGCCATCTCTCTCCCTTCTCATAATCGGTCTCCACCCATCGAAACGGGTTTCGTACCCAAAATCGACGGGGGCGGAGTTTCCGTTGATCCGGTATAAAAGCGAGGGTTCGTGGCATGCCAATGAGCCACACATTACTTTCAATCCTCTTCAGCTTACACAGCTTTCTCCTCTTCTTCTCTAAAAATGGTAAGTTCTCAGCTTCTTTTTCTTTTCTTTTCTTTGAGGATTTCTTGATTTTAAGATCGCCCGACTCGCCATCGCTGCCCTCTTCGTCTCCAGCTCTTTCGCTTGTCTTCCAGGACTCGGAGGACTCGGAGGAGGATGTGGAGGAGCTGCTTCTCCATGTGCTGCTCCACCAATGCCACCACCAGTTGCCTGTGGAGGAGGATGCGGAGCTGCGTAAGATTTCCTCTTTTTTTAAAGTATTTCATTACTTCCTTTCAGTCCATATCCAGCCGGTCCAATGGCTGCTCCATACCTGGCTCCAGCCGCTATCGCTCCTCCACCACCACCACCACAAGGAGCCGTCATCGGAGTTGGAGCTCAGCCAGCAATCTATTCCGCCCCTCTTCCAGCTGGAAACGCCTACGTTGGACAAGGAAAATAAGAAAATCCATGTGTTGCATAATATCAAGTGATCCATAGCCATCTATTGATCTTTTTTGTATATTTGTTGGTTATTTTATTTTTATTTTCTTTATGGTGATTATTCTCTTTTATTTTATTTTATATATAAAGTATGGTGACAGTTTTAAGCAATGATATGAGGTGCTGACATCATAATAGCTAAAATGGAAATAACAATGAAAACAGTGAAAAGCAAAAGACACGCTCTGTCGACGACCATCGCCGCAAATCTCCAATCTGTTTGAATCCTCTCATCGTGTTCTTCCTTATTGTAAAAGGCAACAACCTTGCGTAATTCTGTGTGTACTGAATGTAAAAGTAGAATTTGAGCTTCGTATCCAGCATGATTCGAGGGAAGATTACAGCTGAAAGATGTTCTTGAATATATCAAATCTACTCAACTCACTCCAAAGGATTCTTCGGTTTCTTCGGCATCTTATCCGTGTTATCTATCACATTGGCTTTCACAAACTTATACCCGGGACGGGACATGAAGAGAAGCCAGGGGAGGAACTCTAGAAGGATTCGACGGACGAGTGGATTCATTTCGTGACTGTCTGCACTTCGAAAATGAAGATTCAGAACCACAATGGTGAATACAACGGATGCGGAGACAACTAGCATACAGCACGAGAAGAAAACTCCTGGAATTTGGAAAAAAATACTGTAGAATTTTCAGAAAATACATTTTTAATTGGCGAGCTGTAATATAAAATTTGTTGGTTAACTTAGGGGATTCATTTTTGGGTTACTGAAGTTTTTTATAGAAAAAATATGTTATGTGCACTTCTTTTTGGAGCGAAACGATCGGAAAATTGTTTGGGAACTGCATGCTAGACCGAGATGTTAGTTTTCCGATTTTCAGAGAGAATTCTTTCAATACTGAGATTTTGAAATATTGAGTTCTGGATTTTGTGAATCCGAGATTCCGGATTTTGAGTTTTTCGAAGTTTTTAGAGAAGTTCGGAAAATCTGAAACCGCAATTTTTAGATTCCGAAAATTCTTTCTAAAAATCAAAAATTCAAACTTCAAATTTCGAAAATAAAAATTCAAATCATTGGATATTCGGATTTCGGAAATCAAAAATTCGAAATACCAAAATTTGAAAATTCGAAATCGAAGTTCCGAAATTCTGAACTTCAGAAATTCAATTTCAGAAAAAAATTCAGAAAGTTTGAAATCTAAAGATCCATAATTCGAAAGTTAGGAAATTCATGAATTCAGGACCTCAGGTCCTGAATTCATGAATTGTTCTCTTCTAGAATCAAACTCGAATCAAGTCTGCAGCAGCAGCAGAGAACAAAGACTGAATATGATCTCATCACCTAATCTACTCCTTCTTTCCCAAATCCATAAATTTCGAAACTGACCAATTAACGGCACTGCTTCCGATGTTGGCGGCGTCATTTCGGAGACCATACTCAAGAAGAAAACGATTGCCAACAGGATTGTCACCTCTGGAGAGGAAAACACAAGTATTACGGAGAAAGACTAACAAAGTTCCAAATCTTACCTAGTGTGATCTTTTCTCCAGCATCTGGTGGGAACATAAAACCCAAAATTGCCATCAGGGAAATCAAAAGAGATGGGATGATCAAATTGAAGCCTGAAATGAAAATGAACTTCAAAATTCTGAAATTTAGAATCTACCGTAATACAAAGTCCTTCTTCTGATATGCAAGTAGTAGTTAACAGTTGGATACGGTTCAGGACAACATTTGTAAAAACTAACGATCCGTTTTGCATTCGTACTTATCACTTGCCATTCTCCATTTACTAAATATGTCGACAAATCCATTGATTGGGCTGAAACGTTAAATTTGAGATTTTCTAGCTTTGACTCTAATTCGGAATTACGTTAAATCCTGTATTAAAAGTGCCCCACAATGTCAAGTTTGAGCTCAATTAACTCAATTCCTATGCAAGATATCAAAAAGGTGTCAACTGACAAAACTCATCTGATATTATATAAACATTTTATTAGTGGACAACTTTCTCATATCTTTGACAGAAATCGATATGAATTGGATCAATGTTGCAAGTTAGGGGATCTTCTATCACAGGTTTTGAGGTAAATTTCAAAGTTGTAAATTTCAGAACTAAAGTTTAAAAACCAAAATCTTACTTCCATTTGTATCATCATCGATTTGTAGATCAATCGCATATCCATGGAACGTCCATGATCCAAATTTCATTTCGCATACTTGGTCATCAAATGGAAACCATGTCACATCAAGCTGACAAACGAATTTTAAGACTCCTGGAGGAATCCAGACAACGGTTCCCGTGTGATATGTGAGAAGATTTGATTTGAATGTTGAGTCGAAATCTTCGGCGGCACTGAAAAAAATGATTTGGTACAATTCGAAAACTTCAAATTCTAACCTATTATACAATAAAACATCAGGCTTCCAGATATGATCTGAACTTCCCGGAAATCGAATATCTTGAATTCCTCCGTACTTTTTCGGTTCCCATTGGAGCTTGTGGTCGAACCATGTCTGAATTTGTGTTTTTTTTCTATTCCATTTTCACAGATTTCGGTTAATTACATAGCTCAACCACGCATTAACTGAAACAATTTGATTTTTCTCATCTACATCCAGAATTTGTTGTAAAAATAGTTTAATTTTCACCGCCAATGGCTGAGATGAATTCTGAACAGGTCGTTCCAAAGGATTGTAACCTGAAAATGTCATTTTTCATTTGTTGTGCTGGTTCTCAGAGAACGGAATTGTGGAAGAGAAACGCCGGTGGCCGGGACAGAGGGTCCCAAAGCGATAACTACTGTAACCTAATAATATTTCAATTTTCCGTTCTTCCGCGTTTTTTAATGCAATTTGTCGTTTTTCTGTTATTTTCCTCCAGAAAACACGGTGTTTCTTACGGAAAGTTAAAAACTGCATTTCAATTTGAAGCTTTCGCGTCGAGACCAACGCTAATTTTACTGTAGAATTACGGTTATCGCATTTGAGCGCATTCAGACGATGTTCGGCAAAAACACTATGAGAAAAGTCACAAAATAATTGCATTTTAGGTTACTGTATTCGTCGTTGTGGGAGTTTCGACCACGGCCACCGGCGTTCCTTTTTCACAGCTCCGATTTTTCACAACCAGCGTTATAAAAAATTTTAAAACCTTTCAGTAAATCTGTGAACAATTTCGTTTCCGCCATACTTCCGCTTCCAATTTTCAGTGAATTAAAAACTAGAAAAAGTGATAAAACCCAATTGAATATCATTAGTAGAAAATATGTGGAAGCTCTCGAAAAATTCAATGGATTTTCGGAAATCTTACCGTTTTTCTCATCCGTCTCTTGCCGATTGTGCACTATTTCTTTGGTGATATGAGCAAACAGAAAGGGCCAAGACACTTGTCAGAAAGTGTTGAGATTACAAAAAATTTGTGTTACACTATTTTCCTTAAAAAATTGAAATCTTTTTTTTTTGAAAGTTAAGATGAAGTTTATATAGCAATACATTACACAGCCTTTTTCGATATACAAAATATATACGGGGAAAGTTTGGTCTCACTGGAAATAAATAAATAGATGAGAGATCTCATGGTGGGGGATAAAATGTAGAAAATTGGTTGAAAATAGGGGAAAAAAGAAGACATTGAAGTGAAAAATAAATTGAGATTTCATCAGAATAGTCAGATCTTTGTGAGAAATTATATGGCCGCGGCAGGTGTGTACTCCATTTCTTCGTCTTTATTTACTTTTTCGTCCGGGTGCTCTGGCATTTCCTCATCAGCGGCTTCGGAAACAGCAGGGGTCTCTGATTTTGGCTCCTCGGCCTTCGTTTCTTCTGTTACTTCTGGTTTTTGGGTTTCCTTCGACTCTTCTTTCTGATCATCCTTTGACATTTCCATCGGCTCTTCTTTTGGCTCTGTAGCTCCGTCCTTTTCCTTGACGTCATTCTTCGCACCTTCTTTGGATTCATCCTTCAATTCTTCTTTGGCCTCCACTTCCTTTGGCTCCTCCTTCTTTGGACTTTGATTTTGAGTAGCCGTTAAGCCAGCTTTTGGAGATGAAACTGGTGAGATCGCCTTCGGTGAAGTGCCTGGAGACATGGCTTTTGGAGATGAAGATGGAGAACGAGGAGGAGCACGTGGAGCTGGCATCGATTTTTGACTCATATCCAATGGCTCCTCGTTTTCATGCTTCAGCTTCTCCAGATCCATCATTTCCACTTCATCCTAGAAACATTAATTGAGAAACAATGATTTTACATAATAGCTCACCACAGCGCCGAAAAATAGATTTTCCAAGTTTTGTTGATGAGAGTGTGGGACGTCCCAATCTCCGAATGAACGTGCACCATGCTCATTGATTGTTGTGACGACGTTGATGACCTTTTCAATAGCTCTCAAGAACTTGTCAATTGTGTTGTAGTGCTTCATTGGTTCGGTGAACAACTCGCAGAGTCTCTGCCATGTGAATGGGAACCCATCGAAGCCTTTTGCCTTATCAAGCACGAATTCCATCGACTCTTCAGTGTTGAAAACAACTGGAGTGGTTTTGATGAGATTTATCTTGTCTATAAAGAAAGATTACATAAGATATTTCTTCAGCTGCTCGAACTCACGGCCTAAAATAGACATTTTCTCTTTGGCTGGAGTGTCTTTCTCGGCTTTCTCGTTCTCATTAATAGGATCAGCCAACTTCGCTGCTTCAACCTTCTTTACCTTCTCCACGTGCATGAATTCAGTGATACAGAACTGAAATGAATCAATAAACATGTGCAAAAAGGAAAGTGTTGAAACCTCGAGCTTCCAAAGAAACGCTGGTCGAACAATATTCCATGCAATCGCCGGAACTCCCCACTGGGCACTTGCTCTGAAATACTGTTCCACTTCTTCGTTTGGATGATGTCGGAAGCAATCACCATCGACGGTTGCAAGTTGATCCTGAAGAAAAATAAGATAAAAATAGAAAATCAACGATTTGAAAACCTCTGTCGGAATTTCAAATCCTGAAAGAGCTGTTGTGTAGCTCAAGAGATGGGCCGCATTTATTTCACGAGCCTGTGGATCCTTCACCACCATCGGATAAACGTCGATCTTGGCCTTCTTCCTATCCGGAGAAGTTCCCGGAGACTTCACCATCTTTTAACACTGAAAAAAAAGGCTAAGCTATTATCGACTTTTAGGGAAAAAGCAGGTGCGACGAAAATGCAAAGAAAGGAAGGAGATCGTCACTTCTCTGCTGCCTCGACTCTCTAATGCGTGTCTATGGGGCGCACTTGGTGCTGCAATATTGACATTTTGGTGGAAATTTTAAATTAATTATTGTTGTCCGAAAAATGACGGTTAGAGAGAAGTATATGGAAAAGAGTATATTGATATTATTGTTTTTCGAAAAAAAGAGACGCAGACTAAATATGTCTGCGTCTCCATCGTGTGCGTGTTGTTTCGTTTCGCCGCTTCGAGATACCTACCGTATACACTTCGCATATTTAAACTTCTCTCTAACTCTCATTTTTTTCGGACAACAATAATATCTCGTAGCGAAAAATAAAAAATAACACATAGTTAAGATGATATTTATTGAACAGATATTAATTTTTTTAAGTAGTCCAAAAATGATTCAAAATATAGAAAATTCATGATTTTCTCCCAGCACCATTCTTCAGGATGTTCGCCAATTCTTTTATCATTTCAGATGGTGGAATCAATGATGACAAATCGGGAAATCCGTTGTGAAAGGGAAGGTTATTCGATATCCCAAAGCCTTGAGGAATCATAGAATGCTCGTATTGAATTGTATGACACTGAAAATCGATCCGATCAGTGCACTGTCTTCTGCACAAGGAACACTGCCATGTGGAAAGAGGTTGCAATGGTGAGAAATAGGCAGATGTAGCGGTGAAAGGAAGAGGGAGGGAAGATCCATGCATGACCATGTGCATACGATAGAGAAGCACATCCGAGAAAAAGATGAGACATTTTGGACAATCCTGAAAATTATAAGTGAGGGATTTTTGTGGAGGCAACTCACCAACAAGATCCGATTATTTGCTATCATCTCCTGTCGTTTCTTGTAGAATGCTGTGACTTGAGCACGTTCTTGTTCCGATAGAGACATATCGACGGGATTATTAGGAACTTTGAATTCCGGTGAAAACGGGTTCTGGAAAATTTTTATGTTGGAAGAGAAATAAAGTGTTTAGATTTTTTTTGAAAAAAGTTAGTAACTCAATAATCTGATATGAACCAGAAGTCAATCACTCACCACCTGCCCGATCTACATTTTCTTAATTTCGTTTATGACAATCACTAGACATTTCTGATTAAAAATGCACGAATGCTCAAAACATGGGTCTATTCGGAAACTTTTGTCCGTAGATTTTTTTTGTTATGAGATTTTTTGGTCCTTCAAAAATCTAATAGTAAGGAAATCAAAAACTCCAAGAATCAAAAAAGTTTCGAAAACTTAAAAATCAAAAAAACTTAGTAAAGGTCAATAGTTTTGAAAATCCAAAAAAATCATTAAATTCAGAAAAAGAAATCATTTTTCAAAAATTTTCTCTGCTATATTTTTAATTTCAAGTATTGCCTTTTTTATATATTAAAATTTCTGAAATTTCTAATTTTTTTTCGGTAAATCTAAATTCTATGTAGTTTTGAAGTTTTGAAATTATCAGAATTTTCAGAATTTTTCACAAGATGCCATCTTTCTATAGCTACGACATCAACATAAACTTTCGAGGAAAATGGAAAAATGTTTTCAGAAATGAACCGACTGGAACACCATCTTTTCTCGGAACTATTAGACTGGAAATATTTTTCAAGAACTGAAAAATTCATTATTTTATTTTAATGTTGGACTAACTGATCTTCCAAAAACTTTTATGAAATCTAGACAGGGAAACCTAGACAATGATTCATGAAAAAGTACTTGCAATATTCATCGTCTGAGATGGAGAAACGGGAAAATATGTTTTCGGGATCATTGAAAAAAAAATTAAAATAAATTTCAAATTTTCTAGTCTGATTTCTAGCTATCCCTCTTGTACAGTATCCATAATTGTTATTGTTATTGTCCAGCTCTTTGAAGTCAGACCAAGCAAAAATATTTACTAGAATTCTCTCACCTCATCGGAACTCATGGCGGAATAACAAAAGGGAAATGAAGAAGAAGATGATATTACTATTTTTTTAATGATGAGCAGCAGTCTAGGTTTTATACACAAAACCTAGCTCTAAGGGATGGAGCTTACCTGAAATCTTATCAGTGAGAATCTTCTAATTTTTTCTCGTTTTATAATCCTCTTTTTGCTCTCTTTTAGTGCATTATGACATCAAAACACGCCTCCCGGGATTTGAGTTAATTGGGGAGAAGAAGATATAATTCGGGTCGCCGGAGAAAGCGCATTCGAGTGTAATTTTGGTGTCTGAAGCATAAGTGATCAGAAGTCTGAGAAGACAAAAATTATTTTCAAAGGGGGACTCTGACCAAAAAATTTTCTTGCATAAAAATGTTCCAAAAATTTATGTATTTTCCTAATAAGGTGGCGAATAGGAATTGACTGTAGGAAGAAACATTATAAAGTCAAAAAGATTACTGTAGAAAAAAAATCGAAAAGGAAAAAGGTTACTGTAGAGAGAAAATATTCGAAAATCAAAAGGATTACTGTTGGGATAAATAGCCGAGAATCAAGAAGCATTTCAACATAACTTTTAAAAAATTTTGATACAATAAAAGTTTTGGTCAAAGTCCCAAAGATTCTGAAAACAAAAAACAATGGAAAAAAGAGGAAATATTTATTTTCACACAATTTTTTCACATTGTATATTCAGTTAACGTTTGTCCGGTAGAGAGATTCAGCGAGTAGGTATACTGTCGTTTTTCGGGTCGGACCATCTAAAAAATATTTTTTTAAAATTTAAAATCCTAAAATGAGTCTTCACCGATGCGTAAATATGACATCCAATGATCAGAAAAACGAATCCAATGACATATGTGAAAAATATCCAGCGACAGAGAACTTGAACCGGATCTTCCGATGTGGATAGCAATTCTTCTAGGTCAACACTCGTCTGAAATTCTTTTTTCTGAATAATTTTTTCTAGAAAAAAAAACCAACAACAAAAGCTGGAAAAACCAAGAAAAGTGAGGATTGCAAGAAAATCATTGCGTTGGAGATGTAAAAATAATAATTTTCATGAAACCCTTTAATTTATTTATTGAAGTGAAAAAAAGGAAAACGTTGATGTCACGTGGGAATGTAAATTGAATTATAATAATAAATATCATGAAAAAAGGGAATGGTTTGGAACCGGAAAAAGGAAAATGATTCCTAGAAAGCAAGAAAGAAGGGAAATCACAGATTAATTGGTCGATTGACACGTTCATTAGATTGCTCTTGCTGAAAAATTCTTCTTGCAAAAGTACAGTAACCCAAAAAACTCACAAGTTCAGTATTAGAAGGCACTCGGGATAGATAATCCAATACTTCGTTGTTATCCACAAATTTGGGGTCTCTCAATTTCTTTGAGAATTTATTCGTTCCCCAAACCATTATAATCCATCGAAGTGGCACGAAATACAGTAGGACGAAGGCGATGAATAAGACGATGACCGCCAGTAAAGAGAGCCAAATATCAGTGAAATTGAATGTGTTTTTAATTTTTTGAATTAGTTGAGTGGTAAAATGAAGAAAAGATTGGACTGATTGAAGAATGTCAGGGATAGAGCTGAGAGTATCACGAAAACCACCACTCTGAAAATTTGAATTTTAATTAATAACTCAGAATCTGTTACCTTTTCATCTTCCTCCTCACTTTTCTGACCTTTCAACGAGTGTCTTGGTGTTCTTGAGATTTCCTCTCCATTAGTTTTGAATTTTACAAAGTTATATCCGAAAAGGGCGAGAATCATAAGAGGGATGAAGAAAATTTGAAAGTAGTAGACGAAAATCATGAAGATCTGAATTACTGTAGTTGTTCAGCTGTTCTCAAATAGTTTATTCCTTACTACATAGGCAGTCAAAGACTTGGATCTGGAATGCCAGGAGAGAAGATATTCCATGTCATTTTTGCAGCTCGCCAGAGAACTAACAAAATCTTTGAGCTCGACGAAATAGGTTTTGAACAAAGCTGGCTTGAACTTCTGATCCTGACTTATATATTTTCTTTCCATTGGCTTGAATGTTCGAATCGCTGCTCGAATGTTATTCCAGATGACGTCCAACTCCAGAAGCACCTCTCCTTTCACTCGTTTTTTTAGTTTCTCATCCTTCAAACCATACCATCTCTTCTCACAATTTCTAATGGATTTCAAAGGAATGCGTACACGACCGAGAAACTCAAATCGATTATTTGGATCTTCATCAAAAATTGTGACTTGTAGATACGTATGAATATCCTTGACAGCGCTGAAAATAGATCTCTAAAATTTTTAGTTACCGAGGAGCAATTATATTTCAAAAGCTGCCGTTTTGAGCTCAATTATCTCATCTTCTATGAAAGATATCAAAAATGTGTCAACTGATAAAATGTTGGTAATATTACGACAAACATTTTATCAGTTGACAAGTTTTTGTTATCTTTCATAGGAATTGAGATAATTGAGCTGAAATTTCAAGTATGAGAGGACCTTTTATTAGAGGGAATACCTTACGTTATGAAACTTACAAAGTGTAAATCTTGTTCCAACTCGGACTCAATGTTTTATAAATTGTATTCGTCTGAACTCTGGTGTTTACTAGTTCTAAAATTGCGAATGGATCGCTCTTCCCTCCAAAATCCTTGGCCACCAAGTCCTCCGCTCCAAACACTGAAAACCCATTACTTTCTCAAAATATCCCATATTTTCGAAACCCTACATTTTACAGTCAAAGTTCCAATATCGGAAATATCATTGAATGTATTTGAAATATCGTATTTCTGAATCCTTGTATTCCGAATATCGTTATAGTTGAACTCGTCTGTTTCAATTGCTTCACCGGCGCCATGTGAACCCGATACTGTGATCAGAAGAAGGACTTGAGCATCTTCTGGACCGCCTTCTAGATGATACCAGTGCTGGAAAGTTTCGTCAAGGGATACTGTAGATAAATCGATGGATATTCTGGAAATCTCGGTTTTCTCGAAAAAGAAAAAAAGAAAGTTCAAACCTTCCAATGATAGCATTCGTATTTCTATCGATACATGCCATTTGTAATATCTGATCAGACGTATCAAAAACATGTAAATCGAATTGTTCAATCCATTTCGGTTCGGTATTCGAGCACACTTTTGTCTTGTATTTCTCCTGACCCAGTTTGAATTTACAAAATGCATCGGGACTTTTCTCTTCCACACGTATTCCCTTTCCTTCCACCAAGACGATATTTACAAGTTTTGCCCAGTCTTGAGTGTTGTTTGCTGCAACATTTAATAACAGTGATAAGGGGTTACTGTATGTTTTCCAACATTCTGGGGAGAATACTACTGGAGTTAGCTCAGTTCGTCGATGAATCATCGTGTGGAATAACTGATCTAGTTATTTATTCACAGTGGACGCGTGAACTTGAGTCATTCGACTAGTGATGAAAATTTTGAAATGACCCATATTCACAGAGTTCAAACTACTGTGGTATGTTGTTGCGCTCCAATGAGAAAGGGCGTGGCAAAATGTTAGGTCTTTGCTGACACGCCCCTTCCCTTCAGAGTGCATTAGCATACCACAAAAATTCGAACCCTGCAATGACCCATATTTACCTCTTTGCTCCTTCTTCTTTTCTGTGTTACTCAAAATTCCATTTTTGGCTTTCTGTTGAAATTGTTGAACTTCCAGTTGTGTCATTGGTGTGATGGTCACTGAAATAGACGCTTTCCCGGCTGGTTCATTGACCTCGTCGAGTAGATTCACATGGAAATCAGTTGACCTGAAATTCGGATAATTAAGATCCCAGACAAATTCAGAACTTACGTGCACCACTTGACTTGTGACAAGTCTACTTCAGCTGCTCCCATGAAATCATCCGAACAAAATCGATCGAAATCAAAAACTTCCAGCCTGATTGGACTAGTGACGTCATCAACAATCATTTGGAATTCTTCATCCCACGAGGGATTCAGATTTTTGAAAATTGTTCCAGATTTATAAACGATTGCATCTTTGTACCGGAATTTGACATAGGGGTCCGAACTTCCAGATGCATCTTTAACTGGAAGATCTTCTCCATTATTCAGTCTAACCTCCAGAAGAAGGTGTGTGACTACATCCATTTCTCCGCCTTGAATTTCGTCAGATTCCTCTTCATCGTTCTGAAATAAATAGTAATTTGAGCACTTGCGCATGTCTAATGAATTTTATAATGAACAAAAAACATCTGAGATATGGAAGAGGAACGCCGGTGGCCGTGGTCGAAGGTCCCAATACCGTAACCTAATTGTCTTATTTTCGGGATAGTCTATATTTTCGCAAGTCTCCATTTAATATTTTTTAGGAAAAATTACACGAAATCGAGATAATAAATCAGGAAAATAAACATATTTTTGGGTTATGGTATTTGTCGTTGTGGTACCTTCGGCCACGGCCATCGGCGTTTTTCCTCCACAGTGTTTTGCAGAAAACAACTAACCACAAATGTCGAAGATAAACTTCGATATTTTAATTTTGACGATGAACTCGAGGAATTCATCCGACGGACTATACTTTTCAAGTTCAGATTCACCATTTTTTCATGTCAGAATATCATGTATAAATGGAACACCTAGGTTTCAGAAAAAGGAAAAAGGGGCGATCGAGAAGGGAGAAAGTGGAAACCAAAACGTTATTGCCTTTCTGGTTGGCTGTGTGTGCAGCACATCGCAAAAACCCTCGTTTTATTTCCGAAAAATGATCATCGGAAAATTTTGGACAAAAAAGGGAATACTATAAAAAGCGGGAGAGAGATTCTAGAGAAACGATGGATTCTTATTGAATGTGATCGGAAAATGAGGAGAACGAATTTCTTTTTGGGAGTCTTCTTTTGGGAGGATGACTCATTTCGAAAAGAGCCAGGTCTCGAAAAAATAGGGACTGATGGTCAGCGCACCTGACAGTTTTTTTTTGAGAAAAAAACTACAATCGACATAATAAAGCTGGCGAGATTTCACATACGTTGGCGCATAATTACCCGGACTCAAGTTTGTACTAGCAAAACATTTGAGTAAAGCGTTGTACTGGACAAATTTGGAGTACAAAAACTCAAATAACTCGTCAGTAAACTGACAAAGTTTCAAATTATTTGATCAACTTTGAACTGAGTTATCGCTGGTCAAACTTGCTTCATCTCATCAAAATCACAAGAAAAATTACGATGTTCACCTTTGGACAATCATTACAATACCTAGTCTTGAGAAGTCGCTTTGAAAATTTCAGTAGCTGTTAATCAAACGTAAAACTATATTTCTACCAATTTTCATGCTTTCAAAATGTTTATGTCTGAAGAGATACCTGTTTTTATCAGTCTGGGAAATTATACCCGACCATGGACAGGCAATATTCCAATAATACCACCCAGCTTAATCAAACTCATCAACTTACATTATGTTCCAACGAATACTGTGGCTTGAGGGATCTGAAATTCCATAATTTAATTCAGTCTGTAAATATCAATTACCTCGTAAACGTAAAAGTGTCAAAAATCCGTCGAAATCGGAACCCCGGTGATTTTCGTGGCGATTGATGACCGTGGTTATGGTGATGCTTTTCGGATGCTGACGATCCTGAAAAAGGAATACACTTTTTTGAAATTCGTAGTTTTTTTTTCTCAACACTAATCAAATTGAAAAAGTTTTTGTTTTATGCAACACACACTTCTGACATGATACGGTAGGAACGTCGGCTCTCGACGCAGTTTCCCCCGTTTTCGACGACGAAACACAACGAATATTCTGGCAAGCGTTGAGAATTTCATTTCTGGAATTTAAGAAAAAAGGATCTACTATTCTTGATTTGCACGGATTCAGAGAAAGATACACAAAAAAAGAAAAATAAAACATTCTCAAAATCGCAAACAATTCTAAAGGTTCAGAAATTCTATGAAATCCAGGAAACCCAAAAACTTCTACAGTTGCTGAAAATTCTGAAAATCAAAAAATCACAATTCCTTCTAAAAATTGATAATAATTCTCCAAATTTTGGAAATTTCGGAATTCCCACAAAGTTCTGGCGTTTTGAAGATTTTTTTCTCTAACTTTGGGAATTGCAAAAATTTTAAAGATGCGAAAATTGAAAAATCTGATTTCTGAATACAACTTTCAACGATGTCGAGAATTTAGAGAATATTTCGCTTTTGAAAAATGTTTGAGAAGTTTTGAAACTGTCAGAACTTTCGGAAATTCTGAAAATTTTGAGGAACTTCGTACTCTCAATTATCCAGGGATTTCGGAGCAAACTAATCAAAAAAACTCAGCAGCGAATATCAGTGGTTTCTCAAAAGGAAACACAGAAGGAATACTGTATTGTATGGGAAACCGAAACGAAATCAAAAACATCAGAGTCACAGAAAACAGAGTCAAATCAAAATATGAGTGAAGAGAGAAGAGCATCAAAAAATGTTTAGAACAATGTGGGAGGAATAATATTGTTTTTTTTTGTCGTTCCCTTCTTTTGCCTGAAAATGGCTGACCATTCATCCAAACATTTCTTCGTTTTCTCTAGAAGGCAAAGCATCAGATGTTTTCTGATAAAATGTGACGAATCTTCAAGGGAGAGATAGTGTGAAAAGAAGGAAGAGCATACTAATTTACTTAGATTTCAGACACGCAGAGACAGGAAAAGAAGATGAAGAAGAACCGAAAAAAAGAAAATAGGAGCTGAGGATGTGCTTCAATGGTTTTTGGGTTCTCAATATTTGAACAAACTGGAGAACAGTCAAGAGGGTGTTGGTTCTGTTCAGCAAGATATCTGGCGTTTGGAAACATAAAGTTAGATATAGGGCTAAAGTAATCCTTCCAATACATATTGAATTTTGAACGCTTTCAAATTTTCAGTTTCATAATTTTTATTTGTTATCGTTTTTTTTATCGTTGAGCATTAATTCCACACTTTTCTGAATATTATAAATCCTATAATAGATGCACATCCAAAACTTTTTTGTTTTTCATTTTTCGAAGATTTCTAAAATTTTTGGTTGTTGTTTATCAAAAAGTTGAAAAAAAGATTCCGTTTTGCTATTCGATATTTTTAGAAAAATGCTCCGCGTCACTTCGAAAACGGTCATTTCGAAACCGCGGTCATTTCGAAAACAGGCTAATGAATGAATTTCAGACTACAAAATTTCAGACCGATTTCCGGGTTTTTAGATATGCCTTTTCTGATAGAACACATTCTGAAACTCGAAAGATATTTTTTTGAAAATATTATATTTGTGATATTTCCGGAGTTCACAATGTGCTCAGAAAAGGCAGATTTGAAAACCCTAAAATTGTTTTTGCAGTTTGAAATGCATCCATTTGCCTGTATTACTGCGGTTTCGAAATGACTGATTTCGAAGTATCGTAGTTTTGAATTGATACTGTAGTTCAAAAGCAATTGTCTGTAGCAATTTTTGCCCAAAAAATTACTTTGATTTTGCTATACCTTTTTCGATACCTGAACCTATAAAAAACAAATGTTCCAGACTTTCAAAGTTGGTCGGGTCGAGCAATGGACCTGTGCCTTGAAAAAGTGGTTTAAAAACTATCAGATCCTCAGAGGAGCTTTAAAAAATAGATGCACATAACGGAAGGCAAAATGAGTTTTTTTGAAAATCGAACTTGTTATTGTTTTTCAAAAGTTTTGCTCCGTTAGGTTGAAAAAACAAAAAGAATCAGGTAATCAGGTAAGCAGTTTTCCGAACCGAGCCATCTAGTTTGTTTTTCGAAAAAGAACGATGAAGCAAGAAGACATAAACGACTCTAGCATGTAATTATATTTTTTATGGAGTTTTCAAAAGCAGGGAGAGCATAATTTGGCTCAGAATTTCTAAAGTAAGGAAAATTTGAATTTCATAAAAAGACCATAAAAACTCACCAACAGCAGCTGATTTCCGACGTCTTCTTGTCAGTGGCGAGCACCCAATTGACGAACTTTCGACTGGCTCATCATCCTCTTCATTCTCGTTTTCTTCTTCATTTCGTCCTCCCTTCATTCTTCTGACATCTTCTATTTCTTCCTCTATTTCTTCCTGCTTCTTCTTCTTTTTTCGAAGTCGAATCAACTGCAAACAAGGCATGTTTGTGTTCCATCTGGAGCCGTTTTTCAAGGGGCCGAGTAAAAAGAGAGTGCTAGAGAAAGAAATAAAAAAAAAAACTGACGAAGCCGAAAAAAGAGAAGAGATAAAAAGTGAAAAAGTGATGGAAATAACGACAATTGAATTTGTCTTCTTTTTTTGTCAAGTCGTCTTCAGAATACTGATCCCAGGTTGGAAATTTGGATAAGGGAAAAAGAAAGAAAAGAAAAAATATGGAAGAAGAAAAAAAACCTTTGATGAGGTCAAGAAATGAAAGAAAAAGATATTCAAGTCACACACACACACGCACATACTCTCTCACGACCAAGAAAATTTCATTAATTTTGAGAGTCCGATGTTTTTTCAGCAATAAAAAGAGCGTCTTCTAAGGAAGGGGGGTCCGGATGCAAATGCCAAAAAGAGCGGAAACTTTGTGAAAAACAAAAAAAACTGAGCAATTCTTCCATTTTGAAAGGTCCTTCTGTTCCGCCATTTTCATATTTTTATTGGTGTTTGTTAAAGAAGAAAAGGATGTAGTTAGTCATAAATTTTAAACACTTTATGGGGTCTTTTGAAACCTAACAATGTTTTTTAGGCTAACTTTTTGAAACTTAAAAAAATGCTCGTAAACAAAAAGGCGTTGAAAGTTTTACAAATATTGTTTAATTTTCAGTTCTCAACAAAAACCATATACTTTAAAACCTGTAATAGAAGAGCCCTCACACTGTGAAACTTAAGCTCACCGATTTCATTTCCTATTCGATATATCAAAGATGTGTCAACTGATAAAATGTTTGTCTTATTACGATAAGCAATTTCTCACAATTAGCTGATAACTTATTTATATTTTTAATAGAAAGCGAGATAAACGGGCTCAAAAGTTCTATTAGAGGTTTTACAGTAGTAAATTTTGAAGTAATTTAAAAAAATTTTGAAGGCGATGTCAGTTTCAGATAAGGTAATCACAAAATTCTAATTTTTTTTCTGAAAAGTTAGTTAACAAATATTTCAGCAAACATTTCTCTGTATTTATTCCCAAAAAATATTGAAGACTCTTGAAACAGAATTTGTTGACAGAACAAAAAAATACAATACAAAATGTTCCTTAAAAATTTCTTTCGAAATTTCTTGCCAAAATTATTCGAATGTGCTTGAAAATCGACATAAATAAGTAACAATATGGGAGTCTATTCTCTTATATATTTGTCTCATTTTTTCTATTTCTCTCTTCATCTCCGAAAAAGAAGCATACTACGGAGCAATATAAATTTGTGATGCAAACATGGGCGAAGAGTGAGAGGCCGGAATACTTCAAGAACTCTGCACATCTTTCTATAAATGTCTTCTTTTTTGTTGCTCCTCTATTTTCTGATAGAATCATTTTCTCTTTCACGTTTTTTTTAACTCTTGGAGTTATACCTGGAAGACTGCAAATTTTGAGAATATTGGAAAGAACATGTCTAGACTAATCACTACATGGAATGATTGATGATTGCTGAGTACTGGGTCTTGAAACCGTTTTTTTTGAATCGGTATAGTTTTTTGTCACGTCACAAAATGTCTCTCTTGAGATTTGACAGGGGATTGAAAATATTAGAAAATGCACAAAAAAACGGACAGACGAGAGCAGGTGAAAATAAATTGAGAATGCATATATATCCCTCCAGAAGCTTTGTTCTCTTTTTTCCATAAAATTCAAATTCAGGAATTCTGCCATTTTCACTAGTCACACCAAAAAAAAATAAAGCGGCGGAAGAGAGGAGAAGTTGAGCGTTTTGGGACCTCGAAATGGGACAGAAGGACAAAAAAAGTGAATGGAGACGCGCGAAAACTTTTGGCTTCTCATCCATCAAAAAACTGCGAAAAACGAAGAAGAACTAGGAAGAAGGAATTGTCTCTGGAGACGTTAGGGACGAGTGTAATTAGGAGGAAGAAATAGGAAGAAAAAAGAAACAAGAAGACAGGAAAAATGAGAAATAGAAGAAAAATGAAAGAGCAGAAAGGAATGAACAAAGAAGAAGAATTAGAAAAGAAGAAGGCCGTGGGAATCTAATGGTTTTTTTGCTTGGGAAATCAAGAAGAAGTCGGAATCTTGATATGGGAAATCTTGATTTTCAGACGAAAAAAGGAATCTAGAAGAGCAACTAGAATCTCAAGAATTCTTCCGAATCTTGAAATTTGAAAATCTGAGGCACTAGAAAGATCGGAAAACATAAATTTTCAACAAAAAAAATGAAGTTTAAGAAACAGAAAATAAAAACTTTCAGTTTTTCAGAACTTTCAAATTCAAAATTCTGAGTTTTTCAAAATAGTGTTATGATTTTTTACTGCTTCATTTTGTAAAAAAAAAAAGTTGTGTAGAGTCATATAAAAAAGATGAATTCCAAAAAACTCCAAAAGTGAGAGAAAAATCCCCGAAAAATCGGTATAAGGTGGCTGGCGGCCGAGTGTGAGTTTTCTAGTCCGCGGCCAACGCGCGAATTTTTCGTTATTGAACTTTTCAGGGTTTTTTTTGTGATTTCCAGCTGTTTTCTTACGGAGTCGTTCGATTTTTACTTATAAATTACTTTTTAAAAAACATTGAGAAAAAAAACCAAAAAGTTAAACATTTTAAGGATATTCTGTTGAAAGTGAAAAAAAACCATTGAAAAATTCGAATATGAGCGCTGGCCGGTGACTAGAAAACTCACGGTTGCCAGCCACGAATACCACTTTTCCTTTTTGAGAGTTTTGTCTCATTTTTGGTAATTTTGAGTTTTTCTTTCATTTTTATGAGAATCTCCATACTTTTGGCTACAAAATGAAACACCGTGCACTATCTTTACCTTTGAATATTACTGAATTTTACACTCAAATTTCTAACAAAAACTCAAAACCGAAAAAAAAACCTTTTCCAGTCTGTTCCTCAAAAAAAGATGATGACCAAACTAACAAAAAAGGGGAAAGTATGCAAAAGGAGCTTAAAATGAAGCGTCATACTAATTCAAAGTATGAAAATCTTATCCCAATAGTTTAATCGGAAGAGGATTTCTTTTTATACCGGGAATACTTTACGGATAAATAAAACCAAAGAAATCAAACAAATCGAGAAAAAAGATTAGAGTGGAAAAAAGGAACAACAAAACAGGGGAAAACGAAGGAGTGGAATGTGTTTGTGACTCCTAAAAAAGAAGCTAAAAACCTCGCGATGTTATTTCAGATTTTATTATATTACGCCTTCTGGTGACAGATGTGAGAAAAACCGGAAGAAGAGGGAAAAAGAGCACATGGAAAAAATGGCTGGAAAAAGGAATATCGCTAGAATATTTCTTGAAAAGGTGGAAATGAGAAGGGTTCTGATGAAAGGGAATATGAAATTAGTAAAGGGAAAAGCTTGGAAAAATAGTTAGGTGAGACTGATTTAGAAAAAGAAAAACAAACTGAGAAGTGTGTCATTAGTTATTTAAATGGGGAGGGAAGGAAAGTTTTGCGAAAATACTTGAAGTGAGAAAAAAACAAGACAGAAGATGACACTTAAAAGTAGTTGGTTCTGAAAATCGAGATTCGAATTTCCAGAACTTTCATAGATTTGGGGAGTTTAATCAACTTTTAAAGGAAATTTTCAAAGAATTTCCTTATTCAGATCACACATATTTCTTTGAAACAACTAAAACGGCTGAAATATTTTTTTTTAAGACAGTGACACATTTTCCGTCTACTGTATGTATCGGTATCGGGGTCCACTGCCCTTTATGATTCTGTTGGCGGTGTACATATGTGATTCCAAAAAAAGGGGTTTAAATCTTTATCCTGATATTTTTAAAGAAAAACTTCTTTATAAATTCGAAAAAAAAGGAAATTTTCAGGAAATTTTGATAGTTAATGGAATTTCGTAAATTCGTAATATTTCCTGAAAGTTCTAAAGAACTCAAAATGTTCCGAATATTCCGAAAAATCCAAAAACTTTCTGAAAGGTTCAAAAATATTCAAAGTTCTTAAAATCAGAGAAAATGTCAAAAATTCTGAAATTTCAAAAACTTTGAAAAAAAAACCATAACTTCTGAAAAAACCAATATGTCTGCAATATTCAGAAACACTGACAATTGAAGAAAAACACTCCTGATTCATTTTGGCCAAATATCAAAAACCTAAAAAATTCTGATGGTTAAAAAAAAACAAATCCAGAAATCAAAAATTCTGATGATCAGTCAATAATATTAAATTAATACTCATCCACATAAAAACCAAATATCGCTTAGACAAGAAAAACTACAAGAATCAAAGCCACGATAAAATGAATGGATTTTTCATTGGCCCCATCTGGCTCAGCTCCCTGTGCTTGTCCGATTTCTCTTTGATGAGTAACAATTGGAGCTTCTGTAGGCCGTGGTGGTTTTCTGAATAGAAACTTTTTTTTTTTGAGCGACATAAAACTTCCTACTCACACTGGCCGAACATTATTTGGCAGGTATTTGTCATGCTCTTGGGAAGTATTACAGATTCCAGTCAATTGGCAGATGATGTCATTGTAATACCCAACAGAAGCGTATTGTTCAAATGGTTTATCATCTCGGTCTTTTGGATTGGCGCAATTCGCTGAAAAATTTGATTTCTGAGGTTATACTGGAATGAAAATACTTTGAGATAATACTCCAACAATTGTCTTTTTTCCATTGATATCACCAATTGATCCTCCACCACTGTCTCCCTAAAAATTTAAATTGAAAATCCGCAAATCATATTTTCAGCAACTTACTACACAAGCAATTGTTTTTGAATCAACACTGATAGCCAAAAAATAGTAATCCTCCATTGGCATGTCACTCCTAATTTGAACTTTTTCATGTCTCAACAGACCAGAGTTATCTTTTCCCTCTTGTTGACCCTTCGGAGCTGAAATAAACCAACAATTCACTCAACATGCTCAAAATTCTTACGGTTTAATCCGAATCCAAAATAATCAAGAACTGTGTTGACTACATTCGCGGCCCGGATCTCTAAATATTGAAAATTTGTTATCATCTGGGTTTATCGATCACACCTGCTACACAAACCATTCCGAGAGTCTCTGAGAATGTCAGATCCTCATACAAATCAATAATCGCAAAGTCATCTACGTAATACTGTGGCCCAACGTTTGGGTAGGGAGTTGTTTTGTTAGCTTGTCTTTTTATACAGCCATAGACTATTGTGATTTTCTCTGGGTGTTGTGCAACTTTAGCGCCGTTTGACTGAATTTTAATAGCTTTCAACAGTTCTTCATTTGTGATCTCATAATGACTGAAATGCTTTGTATTTGCTGAAAATATGTCATAGGAAAACTTACTCTCCTTTGCAGTTGTTATTATCGAAAGGTAGATCTTTGGGAGACCAAGAAACGTCGTTTAAATCGGCGAAACAGTGAGTGGCAAAAAGAATGTGACGAGTGGAAACGATAGTTCCAGTGCATGTCGTCGCAGTTCTTGCTCCTTTCGCGTCTGGTTTACCGTACAACAAATAGAAAATGGACCAGGGAGCTTCTGTTTGCTGAGCATCTCGTCCCATGTAGACTTTCGCTAAATACAGAATTTCGCAAAATCATCTACAAACGACAGGGCTCGAACGGCTGTGGTATGCAGTTGCACTCCAATGAGAAGGGGCGTGGCAAAGTTTTAGTCCAATGGAAAAACAAATAGAGTGGGAGCGAGAGACTACAAAGCTGTTCAAACCCTGCGACGACCCCAATCTCTAAACTTACATTGAACTTTTTTCCCGCACGAATTGAGTCGCTGCTCATTTTCGGCGCTTGTGAGAGGATCACAATTGGAAAATTGGATAGCCAACAGAATTAGTACAACTGAAGACCAGCGCATTTTCGAATTTCAAAAAGCACTGATTTGGAGATTTGGGTGTGTGCTGGCTTCAATCCTTTTTGGCATGTTGCTCGTAAGGTGGTCATTTTGATGGAGACAAGCACACGTTTAATATATTTGGTTGGTGTCTCTGAAAAAAATCTTCTGAAAAAGAACTCTGACCCCGACTACAGTAACTTTTCTGGTTTTTCAAAAATGAGGCTTTTTGAGGTTTTTTTGAGCACTTATTATTTCATTTATTGTCAGTAATCGGTTTAATTTGTAATATCACCAGTCGATTTCCGCCGCCTGTCGGCGGCTACAATCTCCTGGCTACACTTAAAACGTTCGAATCTCAAAACTTGAGGGAATAAAAGAAGAAGTTTTGATTGAATGTGAAAAATTGTTAACTTTCTGGTTTTTTTCCTCCCAAATTTTCAAATTTGCAAATGTCGGTTTGCGCCCCTCCGGGCTAAACCTACTGGCCTCTGCTAACAATAACTTGCCACTCCAAAAAGAGATTTCGATACCTTTTCTCAGAGATTTTTTTCTAGCTCCAAAATCGGAAAATTCTAGACTTCGACATTCAGAGTTTCTGAAAACGTAAATTAGGAAACGCGGAATGCGGTAATTTCGGAGTTTTTTTATAGTTTATCAACTCGGAAATTAAGATATTCAGAATTTTGGGAATCAGTCGCTGCCCTGGGGCTCAATCTTCTGGCTTCCGCATACTGTATCTTACAATTCAATTTCTAAATTTCCGATTTTCCGAAGTCACAAAAATTCCGGAATATTTAATTTTCCAAGTTTTCGAAGTTTCGAAACTACTTATGACTGAGATCTATAAGTTCTGAAATTCGGAGTGAATGGTTTTCCGGTTTCCTAAAGTTCCAAATGTTTCGATATCTATGTTTCAGAATTTTTGTATTTCCTGGTTTCCGAAAGTTCCGAATTTCGAAAAATTTTTGAATTAAAAAAGACAGTCGATTTGCGTCCCTCCGGGGCTGGACCTCCTGGCTCCCGCTTACATTGCGTTATCTTATAGTGAAGGCTTGTCAACTTTTAGAAAATCTGACCGCCTGGAATTTGGAAAATTAGTATTAGGTTGTTCGAAAAGTAATTGGCGTTTAGTGCGAACTACTTCGACTTCCAGCTATCCTGAAGAGGTCTTTGAGCATGTGTTGTTGGAAAGTGGTAGATGATAATGGAGAAAAGCTCCTTGATTAATCTTATCTTGTTCCAGTTCTGCATTAAGTTAAAATGAATCAAAAACGCGCATTACTTTTTGAACAACTTAACATTTTCGATTTCCAGGAATTCGAAAATTCTTAATTTCGCTTAATGAACGACTGGACATCTCCCGCTTATAATGCCCATAATCGTGCAAAAAAGTACCAAATTAGATCACCTTTTTTGCCTTTTTTTTATAGTTTCTTTGCTCTCTGAAGTTCGAAAATTCGAGAAATTGAGAACCCGGAAATTTGGAAATTCAGAAGTTCTACGTTTCGAAATGAACAAAGTCTCCAGGAGTTATTGGAACTTCGGAATATCAGAAGTTTATAGATTCACGAATTCGAAAATCATAATTTCCAAAAACTCAGAAATTCCGAAATTTGGAAACCTGAAAAGATCTATAATCAGAAATTCAGAAATGTTTTTTGCAAATTCGGTGAATAAAAAAAATCCAAAATTTAGAAATTCCAGAGTTTGGAAATTCAGAAATTAAGTTATGAAATTCTTAAAAGTTGAAATCCTGAAAATTCGAGTGATCCAGAAAGCGCGATCTTATGTTTCCTCGCAATCTATTTTTTCCTGTTTCAGAATTTTTCCCTTTCAAATATTCAAAAACTCAGACTAAAATAACGTTTCCTCAAAATCACCTTTCTCCCAGAAATAGCGTGGATAAGAAAAAAATTTGGGCGGCTAAACAAGGATGACGTAAAAATTGTTTAAATAATTTTCCAAAAATTTCTCTGTAGAAACAGAATAACGTCTCCAGAAGGCGTGAAACTCAAAATTTTGAAACATGAAATAGACGGGCATCATCTCGCTGCTATTTCGGGTCATTTGTGAAAATTTGGGAAATTTTGGTCCATTCTGGACTTCGATAGGGCAGGTGACCCGGGAACACCGGACACACACACATACACACTCACACACAGAATTTGGTGATTGTTAATAGTAAAGATAAAACATGTAATAGAGGAGACTCCTTAACTTTTAACTTTGAGCGAATTTTTCTCAGTTCATGGCAGAGATAAGGAAAAGTTGGCAACAAAAAAACGTTTATCATAATACCAAAAGTCTTTTGTCAGTTGACACTTTTCCGTTATCTTGCGTAAGAGTTGAGATATGTTAGCTCAGACTTGACAGTGTGGGGGGGGGGGGGTTCTATTGAAGGTTTTACGATAAGTACCGGAAATTGGCTCAAAGTCAACGGTTTGGCTGATATATGATGCAGACGACCGATGACCCAGGAAAACCCCTGCCGATTTTTCTGTGTCTATTCCTTTAACCACAATTTCAAAAAACATATAAATCAAATAAGTTCATTTTTCCGGTTTAAAAAGTTCTACTGATTATTGGCTCCTGGTCCAAAGTCTTCGTATCCATCGTCCATTTTCACAGGAACATTTACTTCGTTCACCACCGAACTCAATCCACTTTCCGTTTCTTTATCATCATCTTGGGTCCGATCTAACTTCTTCTCTGGCTTTTCGGGTTCTGGTTTCTTCTTTATAGGTGTCACTTTCTCCTTTTTCTCTTCTTTTTTCTTCTCTCGAACCGTCGGTGGACCATCTTTCTTCTCTTCTCTCGGAGATACTGGCGGAGCACTCTTTAGTGCCGCTTTTCGATTCGGAGTATTTGACGACTTCTTCGAACTGCAATTTTTAACGATAGAGTAAACTTGGGAAATTGCTTACTGTACCTGACATTACTCATCACAGCACATGGTTTGACTTTTGCTTTCCTTTGAGTCTTATTACGAGAACTCGTCGTCGCACTTTTCTTTGCTGGCTTCTGTTTGTCCATTCTTTTGACCCTGGAAATAGGAGGTTCTGAAGAATTCTGTTTACGGATGACGATCACTTTTCAGCTAGCCAACTAAACGATCAACGATGAAAAATGTTGGAAATAGTGTTTGAGTGAGAGGGATGTTATCAAAATCTGAAATCTTATCTGATTAACATTTAAAAAAGGAGATCTAGAAAAGGAAAAAAGTAGGACAGAAACTGAATCAACAATATTGAGTTGTAAGTTGATTGTAAAAGTTTCAAAAAACCAGACCACCTTTTATTTTAACTGTGACACATTTTTCTTGACAATACCGAAAGACTTCCGAATTTCCGAACTTCCGATTTTTTTGAGTTTTCGAATTTCTGAGATTTTGAATGTAAATATCCAAGTTTGAAAACTTAAGCATTCATAATTTTCAATTTCCGCGTCTCGAAGTGACTAAATTTCTGAAATTTCTGAAATTCTCAATTTCTGAAGTTCCGAGTTTCTCGCCTTTTGAGTTAAGGAAATTTAAAATTTTGAGGTTTCTAATATAGTTTTGAGAGTTCGACAGGTACGCCGACTATTACTTACAAGGGAACACTGAAATAACTCGGCTGAAACTTACGAGCGTGTTCTAAAAACTTAGGGGGTGTCTAGATAGGCTATCCTTGACATATCCTGAAATTTTCATCGAAATCTGAACTGACGAGGTGTTGTGGTTCCCTTGATAATGAAATTAACAAAGTTCCCATTTCAATTCTTTATTCAAACAAGAAAACCATAAACTTTAGTTCAATGCTCCACTACTTTCCATTTGTTGCCTTCACATAATCTTCAACCCATTTTGTATATTTTGTCGCATTTTCAGCAGACAACAACTCTCCGTACGAACTCTTGTGGCGCTCGAGGAAATAGGCAAGAAGCACACGATGAAGGTAGAGATATTGCTGAAATTTTGAAAAGTAATCCGTGAACCTTTTGAAAAACAAACGAATTCGTTCTGAATCGACCATGGACGCTGAGATCTGAGCTCTTTTAGCAGCTCATTCATCGCCATACAGTCTTCTCCAGCCATCATTTTATCCTGAACATATGCAATGGCTACAATGGTTCCAGTACGACCGATTCCAGCGGAACAATGGACGAGAATTGGGAACTGATTTCCACGGGTTGAAGAAAGAAGATTCTGAAAAATTTTAGTTTTCACTGTTTCGAAATGTTTATATACTTATTAAATTAAAATAAATTATACTATCGATTGCAATAAAATAATCTATGCTGTCTTAAACTCACGATAGCTGTCAAATTTGTCTGTGGAACTCCACGATCCGGCCAGTTTTCCCATTGCAAGTGCTGGACGGTTTTGTTGCCATCAGCCCATTCTAATTTCAAAGTTGTCACATTGATGCACTGCTCTTCTGGTGACATCTTTTTCTCGTCGATTTTGGTGACGTGGATCTGATTTGGAGCTTCACCGAACGAAATTTTCTGATCTTTTTCCAACGGCCAGTACTGATGACATTTGAATTTTCCCATCTCAATACAATTGCACAGCATTATGATGCACTCGACTTTCTCCTGAATCGCCATTGCCCAGAATGAGTGTTGGGTGCCTTCCAATGGTCCTTGAGCACAAATAAAACGTTTCGGGTTATGAGCAGTTCCAAGGTAGTTGGCATGAATGTAATCGGATGCGAGTCCCGGGAATTTCAGAACAATACGACCCTTATCTTGACATGGAACATCTTGGTATCTGTTCTTTTCCTTGTTAGCTGCGAATGCTTCTGTTGTCATTCCCTCTGGAGTCCATTTGGCCAATCCACGGAATTCTTCAACAAGATTGGCAACTCCAGTGTCAAGAGTGCGTTGAACCCATGGTTTAACCTAGATTCAAGGTTCACTATAGAGCGCACTTCCAACTGTAACTTACCACAATCATAGCCTTTGCTGGTGGCTTTGGCGCAGCTGGAGCAGCAGCAGCAGGTGCAGCATCTTTTGCAACCGATTTGGCTACCGATTTCTTATTCTTAGTCGATTTCCCTTTTCCAGAAGGATCAACAGATGGAGTGAGACCAGGACTGGGTGTCGGAGGTGCTGGCGCGGCAGGGGTTGTTTCTTTTTTCGCCCTTGAATTTAGACCTTTATTGAAGGAGCTGAAGATCTCAACTCACTTTTTTGATATACACATAATTATGAGTAGGCAATTGGTTTTAATTTGGGAAAACGTCAACTCTGAATTCTTCAAAGAATTGAATATTAGAAAAAAATTTTCTCGGGTTTGGAATTCGCTATTTTTATTTGATCCTTATCCAAAATTCAAATAATTTTTGAAAGGTTTCAGGATCACGTGGAGGGGTTTTTGAAAAGCAAAAAATGATTTAATGTGTCAAGTTAAAATGTTGTCCTAAATTATGGCAGAAGTATTTTCTAGGCGACCATAGCTCATGGTTTAATGACCTAACATTTACATGTGATGTCTAGGCCCTTTTACCATCGTGGCCTAACATTTTCAAGTTGAGTTTTTTAGACCCGCAAACTTTATGATCTATTATTGACCAGGTATTAACATGGTGTGTTTTTGGTAGAAAAAAATCTAGAAAACGCAATATGCAAAAGTTAGGCCATCATGTAAAAATGACCTAGGAAACACGCTAGGATAATATTATAAAATTTCTAGGGCGTAAAAATTGGTGGCCTAAAAAACTCAATTTGCTAAAGTTAGGCCACCATGTAAATGTAGCCTATAAAACACCCCCAATTGATTGCTCAATATTCAGAAGATCATGAAACCTAGAAATCCCAATGTGTATTGCTACCTCAACTACTATGGACTATTAGAATGTCCCAACCGTTCTTCCCTAAAACACTTTGCACTTTTTAGTATCCAATATTTTTTTTCACTTCTTTCCTTTTTACATTTTCCGACACATTCTTCTACAATCGTCGTCATATCTTTTCTTTTCTTTTTCCCTCCCCTTTCGGCCACCCTTTTCTGGACGAATCCATGCGGAAAAAGTTGGTGGAGAATTTTTGAAATGAAATGAAACGAAATGAGCCCCAAAGAAAGGCAATTTTAGAGGCGACTGGATATGAGTTTATTCTCGCTTTAGGAATGTCCCTTCCTTTACCCTCTTGTGTGCTCCGTGAGCCGTATAAGATTCGACGATTGAAAAATGAAATAGTGTAAAAGATGAAGAGTCGCGGGCCGTTGTTCATTTTCGAGAAGAGACACTGAAGAAAAGTTCCAAAAAGTTCTTTCAAAGAATGTTTCGTTCTGTAACTGGTTTTATTTCTTAATTGGTGTTAGTCACTCGACTTTGTAGAGAGTTGTAAACCTTGACCGAAAACACATTTTAGAAAATTTTAGCAACATTTTCGCACAGAGTTTATTCATTTTTGCTGTAGGAAGAAACGGGAAGATTTCGGACCGTCATTTTTTTGTTTTACAACCAAAATTAACATTTTTAGCAAATCTTGGAGATTAAATATACATTAAAGGTGGTGTGCGGTGAAAAATTTGATTGCTTTATTTTGTGTAGAAATTCATGTAGACTCCCGTAAAAATAAAGAAAAAAATTCAAAAAAATCCTTCATTGAGAAAAACGGCATCGAAAAGTCGAAGTGGTAACCGATGGCCTAGCGGCCAGGTGTGAGTTTCCTAGGCCAACTGCCGGTAAAAGCGCGCGAAATTCGATTTTTATTGATTTTCAGTGTTTTCTCTGATTTTTTAAAAAGATTTCAAAATGTTTTTGTTAATTTCCTCCCAGGTGTATAAAAAACCTGACAAAAATCAGAGAAAACGGGTACCGAGCTCGAAT